GCGGAGTGAACGAAGTTGGGGCTCCTGATGTGGAGAGTGGTGGCCAGGGGGATAATTTTTGCTGAGAAATCATTTCAATCTGTGGTGTGCGTTGCCAGAGCCGTTTCGACTCACTATGCTGGCCGCGAGCTCGCTTAAAGACTTCTTGTCAGCAGACCTTAGATCTTCTCCTAGATTCAGTCAGTGTTACCGCCATGGATCCTTACACTCCAGTGCAAGATGGAGTTCTCACGACAGGCGGCGGGGGATCGGGAGGAGCTGCAGCAGCCGGGGGAATGCCGCTAATATCGCCGTCGGACGTTCACGTTTTAGTGGTGGACGACGAAAGGCTCTCGCGATTAGTCGTCGGAAATCAGTTCCGAAGATGTGGTTATCAAGGTGACAAAGTGCTTGCGTGGTGGTGATTCCGGCTCCGAATTTAGGCTGGAGTGATCGAATAGGGCTGAAATTGCGATTTGAGAGTAAAGTTTCGCTTTAGTGCCAACGATGGCCAGAAGGTTCAACCGTACGATATGAGAACTAAGAACGCGACGGGAGAGGTTAAGATGCAGTAGGAAGAGGTTAGCGCGAGCTTCTAGAACTATGGACAGTCTATGAGACTGTGATTTCGGCCAAGGGGAGTAGAAACTGGCACCAATCGCCGTGTGAGTCGACACGAAAGCCGGGGTTTACTTGAGCTGCCGGGAAGCGACAGAAGATCGCTTAAGTTATGAATTTGCGAGAAAAACCACCTAGTTTCGGTATTGGAGCTCCCGCGAGTTCATTGGCTTTGGACGAACAGATACGCACGGATACGAAGATAGTCGAACGGATACGGCCACAGACGCTTACACTGCCATTGCGACTTCAAGTCGTCTTCTAACACTCGAGAACCGTAAACTTTTTACTGTTATGAGTGATTCTATTGGATGCGATAGACTGGATTTTTGGATTCGGAGAACCGTCGTTTTTAGCTTCAATAATCCATTCGTTGCTGTCGATTGTCGCATGAGTTGACCGACTCGGTTACCGTACGAGAGATATCATGCTGTATGCGATCGGGTTTCAAGCAATCTGACGAGATTCCCGGTGTGCCTCGTGATATGCAGTGACGGTGGCGGATGGAGGGATGGAGGCCCTCCGGGTGCTGCAGGAGAGGCCAGACGGGTTCAATCTCATCCTCGTTGTAAGCTTTGCGCTCAGGAAATTCGTCCGATACAGTTCCACGCGTTTGATTTGTACTTCTCAGCGTCCCGGGTGGTACCTGCGCTCGCGCCGCTCTGGGTTTCTTTCTTCGGTTATTGTCTGTTGCTGACTGCCGTTACCCTTGTGCTGTGCGATGCTGTGCGACGCTATGCGACGCTATACGACGCTGTGCGACGCTGTGAACGGTGCAGGACCTAATGATGCCGGGGCTGGACGGGCTGCAGCTGCTGCGAATCCTCCGCGCCGACTCCAACTACAACGCCATTCCCATCATCAGTACGTGCGCCGCACGCCTCGTTCGATGCAGCGTTAAGTGTGCCACACTGCTGACAGCTTAACGTATCTTGGGTGCGGATCGATGTTCGTGAGACGTGGCTCGGATTTCCCGCGTATGTTCTGTACTGTACGTGTTGGCGTGTGTCGCCGCGCATTGCATGTGACTGTGTATCTGTCACGCGTTTCTCTGTATCTGACGCGTAATTCTGACTTTGCTGACGTGGCAGTGATGTCAGGCAACTCCAACCAGGCGACGGTGCTGCAGTGCATAGCGGCGGGCGCGGAGGAGTATCTGGTGAAGCCGGTGACGAAGCGTGACGTCACGCACATGTGGCAGCACGTGTGGCGCCGCATCCAGCTCGTCTCTAACGCGCCGGAGAGCCTGCAGGTGCGCATCGTCCCCTTGTCTTCGGACATGGTTTCTAGTATCTATCCAGAGGGGCCGCAGTGCTGGGCATAATCTAGATTGCTCTTGAATCGTCTAGAAAGTGCACGGCTCATCTCGAACGCGTCAGAGATTTGGATTGGATGTGCGCAATACTGCCCACTTGCTTCTTGTCGCTCAAAGCATTCTCGAACAAATCGTGCCTGCTGCCTGCCTCAACCGTTGAGCCTCACATTGAGACACTTGCGTTTGCCTTTTCTTCACTTACGCAATGGCAGCCGTCTACGTCCTTCCCTCGTATCCCCCTCTTCTGCTCACCCCGCTTGCATCCCCCCCCCTTTCCTCGCTCGCCCCTGCAGAATAGCGGCAGCCTGGCGGAGCATTTAGGCGCAGGCGCATCGTTTAAGGCGCTTCAGAACTCAGCTCCTTTCCTCCATGGCATTCCCCCCCCACCCCCCTCTCTCTCTCGCTCCCCTCTGCAGAATAGCGGCAGCCTGGCGGAGCATTCAGGCGCAGGCGCGTCCTCCTGCCCTGACGGCTCGTTCAACCCCAGCGCGGGCGCCAAGCCGCTGCTCTCCCTGCGCTCCCAGCCCTGCTGTCGCTTTTGATGCGCCTAGAAAAACAACTCTTCTGCTCTCCCCCTCTTCCCCCCCCCGCGCGCCCCCCCTCGTCTGCTCTCCCGCTCTCCCTGCTTCCCCGCTCGCCCCTGCAGAATAGCGGCAGCCTGGCGGAGCATTCAGGCGCAGGCGCGTCGTCCTGCCCCGACGGCTCGTTTAACCCCAGCGCGGGCGCCAAGCCGCTGCTCTCCCTGCGCTCCTCCTCCGGCATGCACAACCCCCACTCCTCCTTCGACGAGGCCGCCGGCAACACTCTCCCTGCCAGCGCTGCCGCGCAGGGAGGCGCTGCTGGTATGGGAGCAGCCACTCGCGGGTACAGGCAGGGTCAGAGTCACGGTTATGGGTATGGGTATGGGGTGGGAGGCACGTCTACGCTGCCCACGCACTCGTCTGCTGATACCCGCGGCACCTGTTCCTTCTCCAGCGGCAGTGGCCCCTTGGCTGCTCTACCGTTCCACAGTCACAACCCTCACCAGCCCCAGCAGCCCCACCAACCACACCAGGGCCACCAGCCTCACCAGATTCACCAGCCGTTAGGCGTGGCCCGTGGTTTTGCCAGCGCTAGGGGAGATGGGTCGCTGGGTGTGTCGGGAAGTATGGGGCAGAGGGAGGGGTCGGTGGCGGAAGTGGCGCTGACAGGAGGGTCGGGGGAGCTGTGGGGTGGCGGAGGGGGTACGGAGATTTGGACTGGGTCGATGGATGGGTGGCAGGCCGTGGGAGACGAGCGAGGCAGTCAGCAGCAGCAGCAGGAGGAAGAGGAGGAGGGACAGCAGGTTCAGGTGCAGCAGCAGCAGGAGGAGGAAGCTCATTTGCGGCAGCTGAGTTCTGGTGTGGGTTTGGAGAGGTGGCAAGGAGGGGGAAGCAGCCAGAGCCAGCAACAGCGCCAGCAGCAGCAGCAGCGCCAGATCCAGCAGCAACAGCAGCCTCCGATGTTACAGGAACCGCAGATGCTGCAGGAGTCGCAGCCAGCAACGCCACCGCTGCCGCAGCAGCATGAGCCCGTGGGGTGCCGACGGCAGGCGTGGCAGCAGCGGCAGCAGCAGTGGCAGCAGCGGGGCGGCAGAAATGCAGATGGGGAAACGGGCCAGGAGCAGGACGGGCAGCGGTTGTCTGGGAGAGACGCGAAGTGGACGCAGAAGGGGGCTGATGAAGGGTGTGAACGAGAGCAGCACCAGCAGCAGTTGCTGCCGCCTCCGCCGCCGCCGCAGCATGTGAAGGAGCACGCAGTGAGGGAGAAGCGAGGAGGAGGGGAGCTGATGGTGGCCGGGCAGCAGGGGAAGGGCGAGATGGAGCGGGAGCAGCAGCGGCAGCAGCTGCTGGCACAGTACCTGCGGTCGGGGGGACAGAACGTGCAGGCGTTCATAGCCCACATGGACCACACAGGGGCGTGCGGAGGCGGAGGCGAAGCAGGGGGGGAAGGCGGAGGTGGAGGCGCAGGTGCAGGCGCAGGCGCAGGCGGGGGAGAGGGAGGCGGAGGCGGGGGCGGAGTTGGGGGCGGAGGCGGTGCTGTTGGCGCTGGTACCGCGTCGTCAGGCAGTGGGGGGGACATTCACGAGTGGGTGGCCCGCCTGGAGCAGATGCCTGACCTGCAGGAGCAGGGCGACAGTGGCGACGGCGGGGACAAGTCGCCTGAGAGTGGGGCAGCACGTGGGGGTGTGGTGGAGCGCAGAGAGGAGGCTGGTAGGGGCGGGAATGTGTCGGAGGAAAGGGATTCTCAGGGTAGGAAGCCGGGGAGAAGCGCGGGGCAGGGTGGGAGTCCGGGGCAGTCGAATCTCTCAGGGAAGCGAAGTGGCAGCAGTGGCGGTGGCAGCGGTGGGAATGGCGGCGGCAGTAGGGGCGGCAGTGGGGCCGGCAGTGGGGGCAATGGTCTCAAAAGAGGCGGCACAGGGAAGGGGAAGAGCGGGTGGGGCTTTCTGTCGGGTCCCAAGGCAGCAGCCTTGAAGAGGCAGCGGCTGGGAATCCCAGAGGGTGATGGGAGGCGGGCGGGGAGCACAAGTGGCAGCACAGGACAGGCAGGCGGCTCTGGGAAGGGAGGCGGCACAGGCTTGGGAAGTGGCTTGGGACGTGCGAGCAGGTTCGGGAATGGTGGTGGCGGCGGCTTGGAAGGCGGTGGTTCTGGAATGGCAGGCAGCTCGGGATTGGGAGGTGGCTCGGGGCTGGTTGGTGGTAGCAGTAGGGGGTGTGAGATGGTCGAGAGGGGTGAGCAGCGGGTTGACGGGGAGCTTGTAGGGGAGGCTGAGACGGCGTTCTGGTCTGAGCGACGGAATGAGATGGAAGAGATGCGACGGCGGGAGTTGCAAAGGGAGGAGGTGCGAAGGGAGGCGATGCAAAGGCAGGCAAAGGGAGTGCAGGAAGGGCGTATGGTGGGACAGGCAGACGAGAAGCAGGAGTGGATGGAGGGAGACGGGAGCAGTCATGGGGCGAACACGGCTGGAAGAGACTTCGTTTGGAGGACGTCCCACTCCGTTTCCCGGAGCAAAAACAGCAACTTGCTGCCTCCCGCTGACGCCGCTCACCCGTCCATCCCACCCGCTGCTCCCCTCGCTCCTCCTCCTGACTGTGCGGCATTTGTTTCCTTAGAAGCACAGCCTTGGTGTGGGGCTGAAGGTGAAGTTGCTGCTGCTGCTGCTGCTGCTACCACCACCCCTCCCACCATGCCCCGTGCTCTGTCGGATCCCGAGCAGACCCGCCCTGCCAGTGGCGGCAGTGAGAGCGACCTTCAAGGGTGGGGCTCAGGAGATTTTTCAGGTGGTGCGGGTGCAGGTGGAAGAGGGCGAGGGGGAGCAGTAGGACGCGGTAGAGGGGCGGGCAGGGGGGCGGGGTTTGTGGCGGGGCGAGGGGTGTTGGTGGGGGGGAGGGTTCAGGTGCTGAGGACGATGAGAGGGAGGCGGAAGGAGGTGTCTCTGTCTGAGCAGCTGATGCGGCAGCAGAGGGAGGCGGAGCAGAGGCGGAGCGGGGTGGGTGAGGGTCAGCAGGCAGGGGACGAGCAGCAGCAGCAGCAGCGGGAGGAGGAGGGGGGAGAAATTTATCAGCGGGAGTTGCAGTTTCCCGGCTCTTCGACGCGCTCTCAGTCTCAGAGCCACAGTCGTCAGGGTTGGGAGCAGCAGCAACAACAGCGACGCTACACGCAGCAGGGGCAGGAGAGTGGGGAGAGCCAAGGGCTAGGTCAGCAGCAGCAGGGTGGTCAGCGCATGCGGGTGCCGAGTGATGGGGATGAGGCGCCTGTGGTCAGTGCTGGTCCGCCCTCCTGGGTTGTGATTCAGAGGAAAGGAGGGGAGCTGAAACCTTTGTCGGTTATGGCTGCTGCTACTGCTGCTGGAAATGCTGCTGGTGGTGCTGCTGCCAGTGCAGATGGAAGGCAGGTGGATGGGCTGGGGGAGGAACAATGGGGCGACGGCACGGGTGCTATGGGTGGTGAGGACGGGGGTGAGGGAAACGAAGGTCCGATTGGGAGTGGTGCAGTAGGAAACGATGCGGTTGGGAGCGGTGCCTGCATGGAGGTGGATGGGAAGGAGGAAGAGGAGGCAGGAGCTGGTTCTGGCTCGGGCGGCTGGACAAACCACTCGTCAGGCTTGTGGATGGAGAGCGGTAGTGCTGGGACTGCTCTGACCGCTGGTGCTGCAGGTGCTGGTGCTGGTGGTGGGCGCATTGCACTGATGAGCTGCAGACGACAGAGATCACAAGGGGGAGGTGAGGGGCGAGAGGAGATGCATGGTGATGGCGAGGTGGACGAGACGGAGGTGGGGAAGGAGGGAGAGGAGGAGCAGGAGATTGAGGAAAACGAGGAGGAGGCAAGGGAGGAGAGGGGAATGAGGAGAATGGGAGAGGAGGGGATTGCGGGGGTGCATGGTGAGGAGATGGAGAATGGAGGAGTAGGAGGAGGTGGGGAGGAGCGTGAGGTGAGAGAGGACGGGGGTGTGCGCGAGGAGGATTTTGAGACGTCTCAAAATACAACTTTTATCACGCAGTTTGAGGAACGGGTTTCACATGGTGTCCATGATGAGAGTGAAGCAGAGGAAGCCGGTGAAAGGGATGTGGTGAGAGAAGAGGCGCCAGAGGAAACAGAGGGGGATGAGCGGGAGCGGGCGGGGATGCTGAGCTTGAATCCGGGAGTGCCACGTGAAGCTGTTGCTGCATGGATGAGGGGTTTAGGGATGAGTGGGTTAGAGGCGAATGGGTCTGGTGGTGTGGTTGACCCTCGTATGGTGGCGCTGCAAATGTTCATGCAGCAGCAGCAGATGCAGCAGCGTTTGATGATGCAGCGACAGCAGCAGGAATTGCAGCGGCAGGAGGTGCAGGATACTGAAAGGCAGGAGCAGGAGATGCAGGGGCAGCATGGAGGTATTCAAGGGCAGCAAGAACGCATGCAGGCCCAGCAGCAGATGATGCTGGGTGCAGCAGCAGAGGAAGCAGAGATGCAGCAGAGTTCAGATCAACAAGGGTTGGGATGGGAGGATGGAGGCGGAAGGGACGAGGAGCAACAGCGGGAAGCCCCAGCAGGGGCTGTGGATGCGGATGAGGGCGAAGGGGGAGAGGGGGTGGGCGGACCAGCGAGGGAGGGAGGAGGAAACGAAGATGAGGCGCAGAGGGAGTGGGAGCAGTGGCGGCTGTGGGAAGAGCAGCAAGGGCTACTGGAGGGAGGGCCAGGGGAGGGAGTGCAAGGGGAGGCAATTGAAATGCAACAGGAGCTGCAACAGGTGCAGGAGCAGGAGCAGGAGCAGGAGGAGGAGGATGAGGAGCAGGCGCCACAGCAAGAATTGCAGCAAAGCTGGGGCCCGGGGCAAGAGGAGGAGGGGCACGAGGAGGCGCAAGGGGAGGGGCAAGAGGAATTGCCGAGTGCGGGGCAGGAGGAGCGAGAGTGGTTGAGAAGACAGCAGCAGGTAGAGGGAGTGACTTCCGTGGGATGGGGGGAAGACGGTCCGGCGGAGCAGCAGTGGGGCATGGGGCAGGAACGCCAAGGTCTGAAACTTGCTGCAGTGGGCATGGAAGAGATGGAAGGGGGCGAGGAGGAAATGGGAAGGGGAGGAGAAGTGGAGCAGGAGGGTGATGAAGCAGGGGCAGCCGATTTAGCAGGGGATGTAGCAGCAGATGTAGCGGACGATTCACCTGAGGAGATGCAGATTCAGTATCTGAGGCAGCGGCTGTTGCAGCTGCAGCAAGAGAGGCTGCTGCGGATGCAGCGGCTACAGCTGCAGCTACAGCAGCAGCAGCGCTGGCAGCTCGGGGAAGGAGAGGCCAGCGAAGGGGGGGCAGAGGAGGAAGGGGAAGGGGAGCAAGTGGGAGAGATGGCACTGCAGCAAGTGGGAAACGTGATGCAAGGGAGAGGGCTGCAGGAAATGAGGGCTTTGCAGCAGATGCAAGATGCGGGGTTGCAGCAAATGGTGCTGCTGCATGGTGAGGGAGAGGAACATGGGATGGGGGGTGAAGGGGGGATGGGGGAAGGTGGAGAAGAGATAGAGCACGGAGAGCAGAGGGAGGAGGCAGGGAATGGAATACAGGGAGAGGAGCAGAGAGAGGAGCAGATAGACGGCTCGCAGGAGCAGAGGGGACAGGCGACACAGGAAGAAACTGAAGGGGAGCAGAATGCGGCAGGTGAGAACGGGAGGAGGGATGGGGAAGAGGGAGAGGAAGTGGCGGAGGAAGGGGAGGAAGGGGAGGAAGGGGGGGGAGGGGGAGGAGGGGGAGGACGAGGAGGCAAGGGAGGAGCGGAGGCGCAAGTGGGAGTTTTTCTTCCTGCGGCAGAGGCAGCAGCAGTTGTTTGAGTTCGAACAGTACCAGCTACAGCAGCTTTTGGCCATGGAGCTCGCTGAGAAGGAGAAGGCCCAGCGGGAGAGGGAGGGGGGACAGGAGGGAGCGACGGAGGGAGAGCGGGAGGGAGAGGGGGAAGGAGGCGGGGAGAGAGGTCCGGAGGAGGGAGCGACGGAGGGAGAGCGGGAGGGAGAGGGGGAAGGAGGCGGGGAGAGAGGTCCGGAGGAGGGAGCGACGGAGGGAGAGCGGGAGGGAGAGGGGGAAGGAGGCGGGGAGAGAGGTCCGGAGGAGGGAGAGAGGAATGGGGCGCAGGAGGGAGAGGAGGGGGGAGAACGGGAGGGTGAGCAGGAGAGGAGAGAAGCTGAGACGAGAGGTGAAGTGGGAGAGCAAGCAGAGAGGAAGGAGGGCGAGGAGGAGGAAATGCGTGAGGAGGGGCAGGAGGGGCAGGATGTGGAGTGCCCGAGACATGGGGGAGAGATGGACGAGAGCGGAGAGAGGGGAGAGAGGGGAGAGAGGGGAGAAGGCAGTGCGGGAGCAGGAGGTGAGGAGGACTTGGCGCATGTGGGCAGTGCCTCACAGGCTCGCGGAGGCACCCCTGCTGCATCTGCGATGGGGGGGGATCAAGGAGAGGGGGAAAGGGAGCAGGGAGAAGGAGGGAGGGAGCAGGAGGATGAGGAGTTGGTGGGAGGGGAACGAGGGCATGTGCTTAGGGAGGATGCTGCAGGTGCTTCTGTTGCTGCAGATGCTACGGCTGCTGCTTCTTTTCCTGCTGCTGCTGGTACTGCTGCCGAAGGCATGGCTATGGAGGGAACTGAAGCTGCTAGGATGATGGAGGGGAATTCAGAAGAAGGATCGATGGAGAGGTGGGGTTTTGAGTCCGATTTTGGCATGGATTATGATTCTCACGAGGACGCCCCTACAGGAGGTGGGAGTGGAAAGGATGGCGATGGTGGGGATGAAGATGTTAATGGTGGTGGGGATGAAAATGTTAATGGTGGTGGGGATGAAAATGTTAATGGTGGTGGTGGCGGTGTGGGTGCTGCAGCCGGTGGGGATGCGGTAGCAGAGCAAGGGACGAGTGGAGAGGGTGGGGGCGAGGAGTGGCGGCTGGCGTTTGACTTGAATGAGGAGCAGCCGGGGGAAGCATGGGCGGATGGAGAGGGTGATGGCACTGGTGCTGATCATTGTGTTGCAGCCGAGCCTCAGGGTGAAGTCGGCTGTGTTTCTGCTGTTGTCGCTGTTGGCGCTGGTGCTGATGACCACTGTGCCGCTGCCAAGCCTGAGGGTAAAATCGGCCGTTCTTCTGCCGTTGTTGCTGTTGACGCTGGTGCTGGTCATTGGGCTGCTTCCGAACCTCAGGATGATAACGGTTATGGTTCCGCTGCTCACTATGACGCTCATGCTGCTGCTGCTGCTGCTGCTGTTGCTGTTGCTGCAACTGCGGACGGGGTGTGTGACAAGCACGGTGGGGCAAGTAAGCGTGTTGGTGTGGCAAGTGGCAGCAAGGCGAGGCCAGGTGCGCACCTGTTGCTGCTAGACATGAATGCAGAGGCAGAGGCAGACATGTGGCTTGATGCAGAGGCAGAGGAGGCAGCAGACATGGGCTTGGATCTGGGGTTGGGAGGAACGTGTGGGGCACAGCAGAGTCAACAGAGTCAACGGAGTGAAGGCGGTCTGGGTGGAGAAGAATCGGGTGGGAGTGAGCAGGTGGGGGGAGGCATGGTTGGGTTGTCGCTGGGTCTTGAGTTGGGCGCTCCAGAGACAGAAAAGTGGTTCGAGAAGGGGAGAGTAGAGGTGGAGAAGCAGGAGAGGGCTTCAGGGCCCCACTCGCTAGCTCCCCACTCGTCAGAGCACCACTCTTCAGGGCCTGATGCGTTGTTGATGGATTCTCCTGTGCCTGTAGCAAGCTCACGTGTGGTGAATTGGTTGACGCAGCACCAACAACGGTGGCGTAAGCAGCGGGAGGAGCAGCAAGTGAAGGAGGAGCAGGAGGTCAAGGGGGAGGAGGGACGGGATTTGGAGCAGGAGGAGCGGGAGCAGGATCACCAGGGCAGGCACGCACGTGAGTTTGTTCCTGGATCGGCTCTCTCTTGCCGGCCACAGCCAGCAGAGGAATCAGCAATCGAAGCAGTAGTTGTCGAAGCAAAGGAGGTAGCAGCAGATGCGGCGACAGTCTTAACAGCAAAAGCAGCAGCAGGAAGAGGGGCGTCTATAGCGCCCAGCTCTGCTCCTCGCCACTCTTGCTCTCACGTGCTATCCCTCCGCCGCTTCCTCTCACTGTGTCACACGCAGCAGCAGCGCGAGGGTGAGCTTGTCGCAACCACTGCCAGCAAGTGCCCTGCAATACCACCACCTGTGCCAATCCAGCAGCAAGCAGTGTCCGTTTTCTGTGAGATTGCTCGGCTAGTGGCGACAGCCCATGCGAACGGCGATGCCGTAGGAGATCAGCTGGTGCCGTCTAGGGTTCGAGTCACGCTGGGCCCCCAGCACTGGCTGCTGCCCGCCTGCTGTGCTCCCAACGCTGCTGCTGGCTGCTGCAAGGAGGTGAAGCGTGAGAGGGAGGGAGAGGGTGTGATGGTGGAGGTGGAGGAGGAGGAGGAGAGGGGGTATTACGCAGCGCCAGAAGGTGGCTCAGGGAGTGGGAAGGCAGAAGGTGCTGGGGATGCAGAGAGGGAGAGGGAGAGGGAGAAGGAGATGGCAGCAGATGTTTACCGGCTGGGGTTGCTGTTCTTTGAGGTGAGCCAGACCACCCTGAACTCGTTTCTACCGCTGTTTGTCCTCTGTCTGTCGCTTTCTTGATGACCTGTCCATTCCTTATCCATGCCATTGTGGAATTCCATGTCTCTCTGAACCTGTTCTGATTTTGCACTCCCAACGTTTCCTACCTCCGCCGCAGCTGACGTGTCACATGAGCGACCAGTCGGAGCGCAGCAGTGCAATGGAGGATGTGAGGAGCCGGGTGCTGCCCACGGGGTACCTCATGGCCTTCCCCACCGGCGCTGCCTTCTGCCTCTGCCTGCTGCACCCCGTGCCCTCCAGACGCCCGCCAATGAGGTATGTGATTTCATTTTGAGGCGCCTTACGTCTTATCTATGCAAATGCAACGATAACACACATGCACATACTTGAGTTGGGATATCTTCGAGTCATTTCAAAAGTCACCCTGATACACTTTCACTGTTTCTAAGCACGTACAGCCCCCTCTGCCCATCTCTCTTCTGCCAACCCTCCTCTCCTCAGGGACGTCCTCACAAACAGCCTCTTTCTCCGCCTCTCTGCAGAAGCTTCCCCTGCAGCTTCCTCCTGCCAGTGCCAGCTGTCCGTGTCGTTTTCACCTTGGCGATCATCGGAAGCACAAGGGAACGCGGAGGGGCAGGCGGGGCAGGAGGAGCAGGAGGAGCAGGCGGGGCAGGAGGAGCAGGAGGGGCAGGAGGAGCAGGAGGGGCAGGAGAAGCAGGGGGGGAAGGAGGAGCAGGAGGAGGATCAGGAGGGGCAGGAGGGGAAGGAGGGGCAGGAGGAGGGGCAGGAGGAGGAGCAGGAGGAGGAGCAGGAGAGGCAGGAGGAGCAGGAGGGGCAGGAGGGGCAGGAGGGGCAGGAAGGGCAGGAAGGGCAGGAAGGGCAGGAAGGGCAGGAAGGGCATGAAGGGCATGAAGGGCAGGAAGGGCAGGAAGGGCAGGAAGGGCAGGAAGGGCAGGAAGGGCATGGGCATGCACACCCTCATGATGGTACTGTTGATGGCGGCGTGTGCGTTAGCAGTGATGTGGAGGGGCGTGAGGATGGAGAGGAGGGAGAGGAGGAAGAGGAGGGGCCGCGGCAGCGCAGGCCAGGCAAGGAACCGATGGTGGAAGTGAGCGATGGGGACGATGATGGTCTGTGCTGGATGAAGGATGAAGGTGAACCGGTCGAGGAGTTGGATGGTGGTGGGCGTGGTGGAAAAGCAGAGGAGGGGGAGGAGGAAGATATGAGAGAAGAGGGGGAGGAGGAGGAAGATGAGGAAGTGGAGGAGGAGCGAGAGAAAGGGTGGGGTTGGAGGGAGGGAGGAGAGGAGGGCGCTGCTGTTGGTGGCGGTTTGGTTGGGGAGGGGGCTAGAGGCTATGCGTTTACTGGTACTCTTGAGTTCAGTAGAAAGCGAGAAAGGGCGCAGGAGACGGAAGAGAGGGAGAAAGAGGTTGGTGGTGGTGGGGAAGACGATGGGGAAGGTATGCATGGCAGAGAGGGAGAGGAGGAAGAGGAGGAAGAGGAAGACGAAGAGGAGGGACGAGGGGAGGCAGTGGGGATGCGAGGGAGCAAGAGGGTTCGGTGTGAGGAGGAGGAGCCAACAGATGTGAGTCTGTCACAGGAGGAGGAGGAGCCAACAGATGTGAGGCTGTCACAGGGGGAGGAGCCAACAGATGTGAGGCTGTCACAGGGGGAGGAGCCAACAGATGTGAGGCTGTCACAGGGGGAGGAGCCAACAGATGTGAGGCTGTCACAGGAGGAGGAGGAGCCTCTACGTGGTCATCATCAGCGTCATCCTGCTTCAATGCCGCAGAAGGAGCCTCTGGTGGAGTCGCCTCAAGCGCTGACACAGGAGGAGGAGCCGAGTCCTGAAGCGCCTGAAATGCTCACAGAGACGGAGTTGGCAGAGAGGGAGGAGGAGAACGAGGTGCTCCTGGATTTTCTCCTGAGGGTGCAGCAGGGGAAGGCGGAGACGTCCCAGCAGGTGGCCGCCAATTTTGACGGGCTCTCTGCTGACGTGGCGGAGGTTGCTGAGAGGAGGCGGCTGCTGCTGGCGCTGTCTCGGCCTATCAGCGCGCGCCAATTCACGAACCCAGGCACTGGGAGTGGAGCCGAAACGGATGCTGCAGTAAGAGAGGCGGATCAAGAAAGGGATGCATCAGATGCCAGGGCAGGGGCGAGGGGGGAGAGCAGGAACGGTGGTGGGAGTGGGTGGAGACAGGGCCAAAGGCAGCGGATAGAAGAGGAGGGTGCAGTGGGGATGCGTGGGGGTGTAAGACAGGGAGGAGCAGCACAGGCGGGGGGGGGAACAGCTTTACAGGGCATGAGAGGCAGGGGGGAGGAGTGCACTCGGCTTTGTCTGGGTGCTGGGCAAGGCAGGGCAGCAGATGGAGGAGGCGAGGGAGGGAGAGGATGCGAAGGAGAGAGGTTGGGAAGCGGCCAGGCTGGAACGTCCTGCCGTAGCGCCAAGTCAGCCAGGTCAGGCAAGTCAACAAAGTCAACGCGGACGAGAGCTCCAGTTCCAGCTACCCTACCAAAAAGCCCTCAGGTGCAGGGGAACGCTAGCAGGAGGAGTCAACGAAGTCAACCAAGTCAACGCAGCCAAACGCAGTCAGGTGCTACAGTGCCCATGCGGGCTAGCTCGAGGGAGAGGGAGGGGGGGAGCGAGGGGGCGAGGGAGAGAGAAGAGGAGCGGCGGATGCGGGTGGTGTATGAGAGGAGGGTAGGGGGGCGTTTGAACCGCATGCTGCAGTGCTTTGATAGGCTGGAAGAGGCGTACCTTGCCGTCCGTGCCCGCACGGGCGCTGCTGCTACAGATAACGCTACAGATAGCGCCACAAATGCAGTCATGGACGCTGCTACAGCTGCTATTGCTGCTGCTACAAATGCTGGTGCCGTTTTGGCTGGTGCTGGTGCGCCTGGCAACTCCTCGTTGCCCTCTGGGGCTACAGCCGTAGCCTCGACTGCTGCTGCTGCTGCTGCTGCTGCTGTTGCTGTAGCAGCAGCTTCTGGCACAGCACCGGCTGTAGCTCGTGGTGCGCCAGCAGAAGCAGGCGCTACAGCCGCAGAGGAAGCTTGGCAGAACCTTCCAGAAGCTGCCAAGGCGTGGCTGAGACGGCAGTGGGCCATGGGGCCCGCGGGGGTGTTTGTTGCTTGTCCAGCAGCCCTTGATCAGTCAAATATTCTCTCATATGCACATACACATACGCATGGGCACACAGGGGGCAGTGAGCAGCAGCAGCAGCAGCAGCAGCAGCAGCAGTATCTGCTTCAGGCGCAGACCTCTGCAGAGGAAACTCTCTCAGGAGGGTCGGAAGGTGCCTTTTCCTACTGGGCTGCACGGGGAAGGGCGGCTAGTGGGGCAGGTGTGGGTGCAGTTGGGGGGGCAGGTGTGGGCGCAGATGGGGGGGCAGTAGGGGGAGCTGCAGGGAGGGATGGGGATGTGGCAGAGGAGGGGCACATGCAAGAGGTGTGGGGGCGGCTGGGCTGTGTGCTTCAAACGGTGAGGACGCTGGGACAAGATGTGACTGTAGAGAGGGGTGCTGGGACCAGTGCTGCAGCTGGCAGGGATAGTGGGAGTGGCAGTGCAAGGGATGGTGCTGTGGGTGCGGGTGGTGCTGTGGGTGCGGGTGGTGCTGCGGAGAGGATTGCAGGAGGTGCTGCCCTTGCCTCGCCTGCAGCCACACCCACAGCGGCGCCGGCAGGTGCAGGGGCAGCTGGTGGGTCTGCTCGTACGGACGTGAGGCTAAGGGCGTCCTCTGGCCAGGACACTGCCACTGCCAGTGCAGATGGTGGTGCTGGTAGCGGTGCTGGTGCTGGTAGCGGTGCCAGGGCCGGTGCTGGTGGTGATGGTGGAGGAGGAGGAGGAGGTAGTGGTGGTGGGTGTGGTGCAGAGGCTGCTGCTCCCAGATTGGCTGCTGCCCCTGCGTCCTGCCTGGGAGGGAAGTGGCACGCCAGCAGTATGGGAGGTGACGATGGCAGAGAGGAGAGGGGGGAGAGCAGCAAGCGGAGGGCGGTGCACATGTATGGCAGCACGAGCAGCGCCAGCAGCAGGGAGGTGGTGGAACCGGTACTGGGCACTAGAGCGAGGCAGGAGGGTGCTGGCGGCACAGGCGCGGGGCAGGAGGGGATGAGAGGGGAAGGAGGTCGGGATGCGAGACGGTGGAATGGAGGGAAGCAGGGTGAGAGGAGCAGAACCCCTTTCGAGACTTCTCCGAAGCAGAGCGAGAGGAGCAGAACGCCCCCTGTGTGGGAACGTGCGGCGGCGGCAGCAGCGGTGCAGCAGCACAGCTGGCAGCAGCAGAGCTCGTCCGGTGGCGGAGGCAGCTGGGCTGTTGTCACTGGTGGTGGTGCCGGTGGTGATGGTGGTGGTGGTGGTGGTGGTTTCGTGGTGGATAGCATCCTGAATGTACCGACCACCACACAGGGCACGCATGGGACTCTGTTTTCTGTGGATACAGAGGGGCGGGTGGGAGCAGGAGGTCGCTTTGGTGGTCGGGGTGAAGTGCTGGGAGCAGCTGAGCGTTTGAGACACGGGGTCTCTGAGCCTTCCCATCCTGTCCCTGCTTCCACGCCAGCTGAGGCTGATTCTGAGCCTTCACATTCTGCAAGACTGCTGGCAGCAGTGTTGCCAAGTGAAGCAGCACCAGCACCAGCAGCACCAGCAGAGGCAATAGCAGCTGCAGTAACTCCAGCAGCAGCAGCAGAGCTACCAGCACCAGCGCCAGCACCAGCAGTAGCAGCAGCAGCAGCAGCAGCAGCAGCAGCAGTACCTGTACCAGTGGCACCTGCACCAGTCACCTCCCGCCCACCACAGCCCTGGCTGGGGCATTTCTTCGAGGGCCTCTCCCGCTACACCAGGTTCGGCAAGCTGCAGGTTCGGGCGGCGCTGCGCCGCGGCGACCTGCTAGGCTCGGCAGACATGGTGTGCTCGGTGGCGTTCGACCGGGACGGGGAGTTCTTTGCTTCGGCGGGCGTGTGTAAGCGCATCAAGGTGTTTGACTGCAATGCTGTGCTGCGCGCTGCTGCTGAGCGAGAGGCGTGGGTGAAGGAAGTGAGGGATGGGATGGAGGTAGACGAGGAGGAGGGGGATCGGGAGGGAGCAGAGGGGCGAGTGGGAGGAGGGGGGAAAGGGGGAGGAGTGTGGGGGAGGGAACAGGGGGAGCAGGGGGGGCAGGGGCAGGAGGAGGGGCATGAGGAGGAGCTGTTGCAGTACCCGGTGGCGGAGATGGCGTGCGACTCGAAGCTCAGTTGTGTGAGCTGGAACCCCTTTGTTAAGAGCCTTGTGGCCTCCTCCAACTATGATGGCGCCGTGCAGGTGAGCACCAGGGCAGGGTACATGTGGATGACGTGGCATGGCATGACATGGCATGGGGTGGCGTGGAGTGGCTAAGAGATGGAGAGTGCGCATTCATGGAGAGTTGCGAGTGAGCTTTGCTTATTATTCTCCTCCAGTCACCTAAAGAGTTATTTCCTCTCCTCCATCTTCTCCCTTCCATCTCCAGGTGTGGGATGTGTGTGCGGGCGAGGCGATCGCAGAGTACAGGGAGCACGAGAGGCGAGTGTGGAGTGTGCACTGTGCGCCCACCGACCCCACCAAGTTAGCCAGCGGCAGCGACGACGGCTGCGTGCGCATCTGGAGTCTGCAGCAGGTATAGTGAGCTACCGACATTTGCAGCCTTTTCATACCGGTAGCATGCTCTCACCAGTTTCATTTTGCATGCTTGATTTCTTCTCTCTCTCTAGCAGCTTCGTCAACCGCCTCGCCAGGTGCCTCCTGCTTGTTGCAAGCCTCTCTCGGTCCCTTGCTTTCCGTTTCCCCCACACTTCCCACCAACCCCCCCCCCCCCCCCCTTTCCCCACCCCCTCCTCCTCCACCTTCCCTTGTCTCCCCCTTCTCACCCCATCATTTCCACCCCGATTCCCCCCTCCCGTCAACAACAGGACTCCAGCGTGGCCACCATTCGCATGCCTTTGTGCCGTGCACTTCTTTGTGCCGTGCACTTCTTTGTGCCGTGCACTTCTCACCCGCCTCCTCACTCATCCCCCAAAAACCTCTCCATCATACTCTCTCTCCCCCATTCCTCCCCACCCCACGAACAACAGGACTCCAGCGTGGCCACAATCCGCACGCGGGCCAACGTGTGTGCGGTGCACTTCTCGCCCGCCTCCTCGCACATCCTCGCGCTCGGCTCCGCCGACTTCAAGCTCGCCCTCTACGACCTGCGCAAGCTGCGCTCGCCCCTCGCCACGCTCCCCGGCCACTCCCGCGCCGTGTCCTACGTCGCCTTTGCGGACCCGCTCACGCTTGTGTCCGCGTCTACTGATAACACCCTGCGCGTGTGGGATTTGAGGGAGGTTCTGGGGAGTGCTGGGGATGGTTCAGTGATGGGACTGCAGCAGCAGCAGCAGAGGCATCCCGGGCAGGGAAGCATGGCGCCGTGTGTGCTGACGCTGTCTGGGCATGTGAACGAGAAGGTGAGCGAGGGACTGGGGAGGGGAAGGGAAGCGCTTTGGAAGGGTTTGGTGGTAGTGTGAAGGAAAGGGGTGGAGGGAATTGATTAGGAGAATGGTTAACGTGGGAGTGATGCTACTTCAAAAATCTGCTTCAGAGTCGTGGCAGACATTGATGATTGTTCTACAGGGTTTTCCAGCATCACTGCCCCTTCCCTTTCTCCCGCTGCCTCCATGTTTAGATTTGCACACAGGAAATCGCTTGCCTGGTTTCCAGTCCACATATCAACTTGCCCTCGCCTGAGCATCCTGCCTTCCTGCCTGCTCACTATCATCTTTCTCTCCTATTGTGCTGTTGTCCTGTTTGTTTTGGTGTGTTGATGTGCCTATTCCCTTGCTTTCCTCGGCAGAACTTTGTGGGGCTGTCGGTGTCGGAATCGGGCTACATTGCTTGTGGCTCCGAGAACAACTCGGTGAGCGTTGCATTGAATTATGTTGCGTTGCATTACCTTGTGTTGTGTTGTGCTGTGCTGTGCAATGCGGTGCGGTGCGGTGGGATGCCGTGCTGTGCTGCACAGTCGCGAATTGCTGTTATTGCGAGAGTTTACTTGCAAATTCTATACGTGCAAATGCGCTGCTTGCAGTTTTGTGTACACGTGATTGAATGTGAATTATGGTATGCCATGCCATCCCATGCCATGCCATCCCATGCCATGCCATGCCATGGCATGCTTTGCCATGCTGTGGAAACTAAGCATCCCTTCCTTCCTCCTCCCCTTTCTCCCCTTCTTTCTTCCAGGCCTATGTGTACCACAGGAGTGTGCCAGCTCCCATAACGTGCCATCGCTTCGGCGCTGTGGATGCATTCACGGGGCGAGCAGGCGGACTCAATTACCCCCTTTCTCTCTTTTTTTTTTTAATCTCTTTCCCTACTTGTCCCCCATCCCAGGCGTATGTGTACCACCGCAGTGTGCCAGCCCCCATTACATGCCACCGCTTCGGCGCCGTGGATGCAGTCACAGGGCGGGCAGGGGGGGAGGACGCAGGGCACTTTGTGAGCAGCGTGTGTTGGCGCAAGGGCACTCACTCCCTGGTGGCGGCGAATTCAATGGGCGATGTGAAGGTGCTGGAGATGGTGGAGTGAGGAGGGTGGGGGATGGGAGACAGAGGGGCAAGGGAAGGAGAGGAGTGTGTGGAGGGGGTTTTGATGGGCGATGTGAAGGTGCCACAATCTGACACGTAAAAGGAGTAGGAAGAGCAGGAGGAGCATGAGTGCAACCTGTTGTGGAGGCAGTATCGCTCTGCTTATACATACCTATGACCCACACCCACATCCCAGCCTGCAGCCTACCACTAGTACTGTATGAAGACGCCTCAGATCAGAAGACTTATATGCAGCCCACTGTGTGCTGTCTGCAACGATGTGGTGTGGTGGGCGGGACGCTGACAACCAACCCCTTATGAGAATTCTCAAAAGAAGCGGAACGTTTGAAGTGAATTGCCTCCTGTCAATTTTGTGTTTCAATTTGCTGAAGATTTGTACAGGTGCTAGGTAGGTACGAGTACGGTATCAGAATCAGCGTTGACAGCATACTTGTTAGAACCACCTTTCTGGTATCCTCAGTCCCTTTACATGTACATTTGATATTATAGATTAATTCCTTGTCCTCATTACTTCTACCTACAACGGGTTTCTCATACATCTGGCACTGGCACATACTTTTCAATTTCCATTAAAGCAGCGGTATACATTTAAAAGGAGGGGTTCAAAATCCTTAGGAACTTGAAAAGTTGCCCCAAACCTGTGAGGCACACTATACAAACCCTACAACCCGCTGACAAATGTATACTGGAGCTTTAACAATACACATAATACAACATGACTCTAATACATTATACACCACGCCCGCCCAATGTCACTAATACATATCTCGAATCTTGCTTGGGGTTGAGGGTGAGGCGTGAGGGTCCCTCACAGCAGAAGGCTCTGTGGCCGAGTCTGTATGTATTGATGCTCTTTCCACCTGCCAACAGGAACTGCATGCCACCTTCCTTCACCTGCACTTGTAGCCATTGCAACTCCTGTAGTAAGGAACGCACCGCCTCCGCCGCCCCCCGCACGCGCCCTTGGGGCATTTGATCCTCTTGTTACATTTCTTCTTCGTTCCTGTCCCTGCCCCTGTCTCACTGCCTACTTTGGTATCACCTGCATTCGTCCCCCCCGCACCGGCACCTTCCCCGGTTGAACCTTCCTTAGGTGCTGCCTCGTCCCCAAGACCCCCCTCTGCCTTGCTGCTGCCACTGCTGCTGTTGTCGCCACTGCTGCTGCCTCCTTTGCTGCTTCCTCCCTTGCCCTTGCTGCCCCCTTTTGAACCACCACCGCTTTTTTTGTTGCCACTACTGCTGCTGCTACCGCTGCCACTGCTGCCACTGCTGCTACTGCTGCTACCGCTGCCACTGCTGCCGCTGCCACTGCTGCCACTGCTGCCACTGCTACTACTGCTGCTACCGCTGCCACTGCTACCGCTACTGCTACTGCCACTGTTTCCGCTGCTACTGCTGCTGCTCCCGTGGTCCATCACCTTCTCCTCAGTACCACCTTCCTCCCCGGACTTTGCACTTCCATCTGATTGGCTCACCCCGCTGCTTCCCTCACCACTTCCCTTCTCTCCCGCCGCACTCGTCGTGTCCTCTTCTCCTTCACCACTAATCTCCTCCTCTCCCTCCTCAACATTCCCTTCCTCCTCTCCTCCCTCCTCCTCATCTCCGTCCTTGTCTTCCGATCCAGCAAGCGTATTGTCCCCTCCACTGTCCCCCTCCTTCTCTTCACTACCACTGCCAGCACCGCTTTTAGCACCACTGTCAGCACCACTATCAGCACTGCTCTTCGCACCGTCCTCAGAAGCACCTGTGGGAGATTCTTTTGCAGATTCATCGCCGCTGCTGCCACCCTTAGCATCAGTGGCGCCCACAATTATGCTGTCACTGTCACTACCACTCCCAGTGCTAGCGCCACCGCCACTGCTGCCTGCATCCTTGACCAGGCTGCTGCTCCCACTCGCATCACTCCCTTTGCTGCTGCTGCTGCAGCTATCACTGCTGCTGCTGCTGCCACCAGTGCTGCTGCTGCTGCCACCAGTGCTGCTGCTGCTGCTACTACCACTGCTGCTGCTGCTGCTGCTGCTGCTACCAGTGCTGCTGCTGCTGGTACCACTGTTGCTGCTGCTACTGTCAACAGCAGTGCTGCCACTTGTGCTGCTGTCGCTGCTTTTCGTCTGGGAGGCGGTATCACTACTCCCACCATTGCTCTCATCACTACTGCTGCCATCACCAATTTCATTATCCTCCTTCTCCTTAGGGCCATCGGTATTGCCACTCTCGTCTCCCACGTCCTCATCTTCAGCAGCCAAAACTGTGAGTAGATGCAAAGGAATCGCATGGAAAGAGAGGGGTACAAAGGAGAGGATTGTTACAAGTGAGTGTGTTTGATTGGCCTTAACATAAGGAACTACAATGGATAAAGAGGCTCAAAGGCAGGCTAAACGGGACCAAATAAAGAAAAGAAAAAGAGGAAAAAAAGTGTTTGGTTTCTTACCGTCTTGGCACACCATCGTTACAGTCACACTCCCCGCCTCGTCCGCTGATTCAGGAACAGTATCCATCTCTGCTACACACACTCTCCCCTCGCCACACAGGTTGACTTGCATTGACTTCATTGACCCGCCACACACTGCACATGCCTCCTCCCCCCTCTGCTCCCCACCCGCTCCCTCCCCAGATGAACAGTGCCCGGAAGAAGACAAGCAGTTGCCGCCCGCGCTGCACTCGTCGAGTTGCGAGGCGAAGGAGGGGAAGGAACCAGCGAACAAGTTCCCTGAGACGTCGAGCGTTTTCAGTGCGACGGAGGGAGGAGACGGCAGAACGCCGGTGAGATAGTTGGAGGCTAGGGAGCTGATGGGAAAGGGAGAGCGGAAAAGGGCAGCGGGAGATGGGGAAGGGGAAGGGGGAAGGGAGAGGGGTGGGAAGTAGTGAGAGAGTGAGAGGAGGAAAGGTAGTGGAGGCATGATTAGATTTGATATGTTTCTGGGGAGGAGTGCCAAAGAGCTTAGAGGGGGGGAGGTTGAGGCCCGGGTATAGACAGAACGGGTGTGATGGTGCCAAAGTTAAGGCGCAGGCCGATGGAGGTTACTGCGCTGGCAGGGGGACATACAGATGCTCAGACAGAGAGAGTGACAGAGAGAGTGACAGAGACAGAGACAGAGACAGAGACAGCGACAGGGACATGTGGATTGACAAGTTGGTATTGGAACAGAGGCAGAGGGCATAAATACACCAAAAGGTGGGAAACGATGCACGAAGGCACGGAGAGATTGAAAGGCTTACAGGAGTTCTAGGTTGGGCATGAGGAGGAGGGCTTCTGGTACGGAGCCATAGAGGTAGTTACTGGACAGGTCGCTGTTGGGGTGAGAGAAGAGAGAAGGCGGAGTAGTGATGATTTATTAAGAGGTAGGAATGGAAAAATGGGAAAAAAATATTAGGGGGCAGAAAAGGCTACCGGAGTCTCGAATCGGTGAAGACGGGAAACATTCTTGAAAAAAACAAAAAAAAGTGACTTTTTTCAGCATGAATGTATGTAATGTAACGACCTTGGTTGGTTACATACATGTAGGCAACAGACTTGATCTGCAGAAGCGGGGCGACAAAATCGCTGAGCTCCACGTTGAAGAGGTTCATTCCCAGGTCGCTGTAGGTAGAGGGGAGTGAAAGGGTGTTGAGATGGGTGGTGAGAGGTTAAAAGAGGAGGAAATGGATTGGAGGAGAGTGAGAGAGAGACGATGAGGGGGAATCGGTGGTACTGACATGGGCATGAGTGCACAGGGAGGAGGAGAATGATGCGGCGAGCACACACATGGCAGTGAGCGCGGGAGGGAGGAGGAAGGTGGTGACATGGAGAGGGATATATGGTGGCGGTGGAACTGACATGGAGAGGGATATATGGTGGCGGTGGAACTGACAAGGAGAGGGGTGTATGGTGGCGGTGGTACTGACATGGTAGTGAGCGCAGAGAGGGCGCTGAGGTCGGGGCTGAGGTTCCCTACGAGGCTCATGAAGTTAAGCACGCTGCAGGTGGGAGGGGGGGAGGGAGAGAGAGAGGAGGTTTGAGCTTGATTTTGAATCACTTTGAGCCGTCCCAAAGCTGAGGTTCCCCACGAGGCCCATGAAAGTTGAGCACGCTGCGGGTGGGAGGAGGGGAGGGAGAGCGGGAGGAAAAAGAGAGGAAAATCGGCAACACGAATAGGAAGGATCTAAGTTGGGGAAGTTAAAGCGGTAGTTAATGAAACCGAGGAAGTAGAAGCGCATGCGATGCGACTCGGAGCTTGAGACGAATCACAGCGACACGGGTTGATTCGCTGAGGCATGGGGTGAATCACAGCGAAACCGGTTGTCCGTTGGAGTCGCAGCGCACGTACGTCCATCCCTCCGACGACGACGTGCGCTGCGACTCGAACGGTCAATCCGGGTCCAAAGGACATGCGTTGACTTGCAATGAGACCCGTTGACTTACAGTGAAACCGGTTGACCATTGGAGTCGCAGCGCACGTACGTCCATCCCTCCGACGACGGCTGCACCTCGCCGTCCGGCGTGCACGTCTGACCCGCCGCCCAGTCCGATAGCGGCACCTGTGCGTCGTCAAGCAACTGTAGCAGCGCCGCCTCTGCGACGCGACGACGTGGAGAAAACGACCAAGGGGTAAGTAAAGATGGATTGAGTTGAGGATTCCAGTGTGGCGCCTTGCAGGATTCCCGAGCCGCTTGTCAATCGTTTCATCATATGACACCTGAAAGGGTCAATGCAACCCTGCGGTGCAAATAGACTAACGACCCGACGGCGAAGTCTATTTTTGAGGAGCCCCTAAAGCGTCTATGACTGATATAGTAATTCAAATGGCGCCTGCAGAAGAACTTCTTCTTCGTTGAACGAGACTGCCGTCGCGACGGTGGAATCACGAAGGAGCTTAAAACGCAATTCGTCCGACTACGATTCAGGCGTCGTGCACAAAACGACCCTGCTAATGTTAGTGCACGACGCCTGATTACTTTCGCACGCACACCTGAATCGCTGCGCACATGAATCGCTGCGCACCTGCATCGCTGTGCATGGTGACTCCGGCGCTGGCCGATGAGATTGGCGAAAAGAGCAACAGCAGCGCAAACCACGCCACTCGGAGCCGCCGCGATGATAGTCGCCGTAAATCGGAGGCGGCCGTTGAGCGCGGCGACGCCATAGTACTAGCGCTCGCGAGACCTGACGCAGGAAAAAATATGTCACCGCGATAGAATGGAACAACGGCCGGATCGCTTTAGCAGTGCCGTTACAGATGTATACCTGGCAGAGCGCGAGCTACTTTTTCTGTGAAAGGCTCTCAGCTAGCGCCGAAACGGCTCTTGAGTAGATACTACCCTGCTCGAGAAAGCGGAGCCTTCTTTTTATTATTATTAAATTTCTGAGAGGAAGGGATCGGGTGCTTGCTTATCAGTGCTGCTACCACAGTACGTGATTCGTGCTTGCTGTTGAAACGAGGCCGTCGTGAGTCGTGACTGATTTATTCTGCAGGGCGAGTGAAGAACGAACAAAACCAGCTAGAGTCACAACTACAGTATTGCTCTTTGACGACTCTTTCGTACAATCTGCATAAGTGAACTGCGTTGGAGTTAGGCGCACTGTGCAGGAGTTGTGTCCTCCTTCCGCGGTTCCGTCAGCCATACTAAGGTATGTCCAATCAAATTGGTGGAGCAAGTGAAAGTGAAGTGGCGTGGTGCGGTTGGGTGACAAGTATGACGACGAGATGTGTTCAATGAATGAGAGGGGCGTGAAGAATCAAGGTGTACTGTACGAGGCGAGTGGTTGGCCTGACTAAGATAAATGATGGGGTGGCTCACATGCGCGGTTCGAGCATTAATTCCTTTCGAGTCGCGGGCTGATGGCCAGCCAGACACCCCAGATATGCCTGACGCTAGAAAGCAAGAGCAGTGGATGTCAAGAGCAAGAGTCTCGCGCTTTTCGTCTGCAAATCAGATGAGTCGGCTCTTCCTCCTCCAACCTCCGGCCGAGCAAGAAAAAGTGGTCACGAGCAAGGCGAGTGTTACCCGTTTCGAGAAAACTATTTGTCAAGAGGGTGTGCTGATGATGTGTTTGGATTTCCACCTGACTAACCTGTCATTTGTCGTCTTGTGTGGACCTGAACAGTTCTGTCCCATTGGACTCGGCTAGGCTTATCCAACAAACCGCCGCCAGCACGTTTCCGTTGCTCCAACAGGCGGCCACGTCAGAAAGGAAAGGAAGGCCTGCAGATCTAGTTCGCTAAGGCAGATTCGCTATAGTCGCCCTTTATGGAACTTACTTTCCGGGTCATATTCGTTCGTTGATTGACTCTGAAAGGTTCATTCTGGTGCCACTGGTCTGTGTGAAAACCACTTCGAACTAACCGTTGAACATAGCAGTACCAAACAGCGTTGAACGAGCCCTAATGAAAAAATGTATGACCCAACCCAGCCAACACAAATTGGAGAAGGTACATTTGCCGCTTTCTACATTAGTGGTGAAATATTTCCAATGTTCTGGCCTTCATATCTAGTGCCACGCTGGAGTGCCGCAGGTCTGGACTTTCGCCGTTCCCATTCCCCAAAGAAAAACCTTCAGCCGTAGCCATTGCAATAGTGTCTTTCCTCTCCCCTTTTCTCCTCCCCCCCCCTGCAATCTTGACTCCCCCCCAGCCCCCTTGCACTTCACACTTGAAGGTCCATGGCCACTCAAAAGCCATCAGATCCATGGCATCCAGCCCTCATACATCTCGCACAGGTTGTCAGAGCTACACGCCTCCACCATCAGCTGCCTCACCACCTCTTTGGCTGAAAGCATCCTCTGAGGGGCCTCAAAAGTCACCATATAAGGCACCCGAAACCCTAAATCCAAATCAGATCCATGGCATCCAGCCCTCGTACATCTCGCACAGGTTGTCCGGGCTACAGGCATCCACCATCAGCTGCCTCACCACCTTCTTTGTTGAAAACATGGTTTTGGAGGTGGAAGGCTCGTGCGATCTGGCGTTGCTGCTGTTGCAGCCGCTGCTGCTGCACACAGGAGTGCCAGAGTTGGAAAGTAGAGAATGGGAAAAAAAAAAAAAAAAAAAAAAAACGAAACAGCCCGCCGTGTAAGAAGGCAGGGAAGAATGAAAGCAGGGTGGCTGGGTGGGAATTATGATCAGATCTGGAGCGATAATGGTTTGGATGGACGTTGGCATGTTACCTTGGCGTGGCACCAGGGAGCAGAAGGGGGTCCTGCTTGTTGAGCTTCTGCTGCAGGTGCAATATGACCTGCTCCGCATGCTGCCTTGCCTTGGCCTCTGAGTCAACCAGGTCAAGCAAGTCAAGGAAAGGGCACAGAAGGGGGTCTTGATTGTTGAGTTTTTTGCTGCAGGCGGAAAATGGCCTGCTCTGCGTGCTGCCAGGCCATCACCTCTGAGTGAAGAGAGTCACGCACGCAGATCAAGCAAGTCAAGCGAGTCAAGCAAGAAAGACAAGTCAGGAGAACGCATACAGACATGGTGGGGGATAGGGGAGAGAGAAACAAGGAAGGCTCTAAGGTCATGGGAACAGGAAGCAGCACTCACCGCGCCGATTCACCACTGCCAGCACAGCATCATTCAAAGCTTCCATCTACATTCGTCTCAGAATGCATCGTGACTGGTCCCAACCCAACAATGACAGGTAACAAGATGATTCCAGGCAGGCTATGAGACACACAGAAAGCACTCACCGCGCCTACACACCGCCAGCACAGCGCCATCCAGTGTTTCCACCGACACCCGCCCTGCTGGCGGCAATTCTGCTGCCAGCTCAGACTCTCGCGCCGCTGGCGCCGCTGACTGGGATGCCAGGTGGCAGCGCTTGGAGAGTCGGAGAGCGTGGAGGGCGGAGAGGGTGGTTTGTGCGAGATGGGAGATGGATGGGAGGAGGGAGAAGCATTGCTGGTGCAGGGCGGAAGAGAGGCGGAGGAGAGCGGAGAGGTGGTGGGGGTGAGAAGAGGGAAGAGGAGATGTTGCCCCTTGGACCTGCGAGGGAGAGTGGGTGAGGTTGGGAGGAACGCAGGTTGGATAGTCTGAAACACAGATGCAGAGGGAGTGATATCGCGAAGCAATGGCTGCGGACTCGGTATGTGAGACACAAAACGAAAAAAAATAAAATAAAAAAAATCTAAAATACATTTATATATACATATAAACAGTCATAACAGAAATAAATGTATGCATGGTGCATGTGCATGAATGATTTAGCATGGCCGTCATGGGGCCCACCATGCATTGGGGGGTGGAGCATGATGGGTGGGGTATGAATAGACCCACTGACTTGAGCACAACGAAGTTTGGTTGCATCATCTTATCCGCACTTACTGATTCAAGCAGGTCGATGAAACCGCGGCACTCCGAATGCACTTTCTGTGCGCTTGTGACAATATCCGGTGTGATTATAGCGGAGAATGCGGAGCCCTGCACTGCAGATGCGCCATCAAAGACCTGTTGGAGCGTTGGAGAGGCATGGTGTTTGGGAGCAAGGGAAACAGATGCATTTCTAGCCGCCCCAAAAAGCAGATGTCTCCGTTTTGAAGAGCTGTTGGAGTGTTGGAGGAAGCAGAGTGTTGGCACCAGAGTTGGAACATAGGAGGGCAAGGAGGGAGAGGGCCTGCATTGACCAACATTGAACAGCATTGACCAGCACTGACCTGGCGAACGAGTGGCAGGATGGAGTGGGAGAGGAAGGGGGCGAGGCTGGCAGCAGCCAATGAGAGGCCAGCTGCTGCTTGGTGCGCTTGGGAGAGGGCAGCGCTGTGATTGGCTGACTGTTCCTGCAGTGTGACTGAAATGGGGGGGTGGGTATGGGGGGGAGGGTTTTTTTGCAGGGTGCAAGGGGAAGAGAAGCAACCTCAGAGAGATTAGGGAGACAGAAAGGTGAGCATAACAGGAGGTAAACTTGAAAACCCTGTTCTGACACCTGAGATTGGAGTACGTCACCTGCTATCCTGTTGATTCACCTGACAGCCTGTCGACTAGCTTCTGAGCCGCCTGTCGCGCCTCTGTGGTTTCCACCTGAGCCGCTCGAGCCGCCCTCTCTGCCTGCTGTGCCACCTGCAGATGCGCTGAGGAGGCTGCTTGAACGGGTGGGGGGGAAGGATATTTTGAGAGAAAGATGAGAAAGCTGTTTGGTAAGAGGGTTGCGAAAGATGCAGCACAGGCTGAGGTGGAGAGGAGAAAAGGGAAAGCAGGCAGGGGATGGGGGGAAGGAAAGGCGGAGGGCAGAAGAGAAGACTGGGGGACTTTTGAGTCGACTCAAAAGTCGCCTCGTTACAACGGAGTGGAAGATGATGCAAGCAAGAGAAGATCTGAATCTCTTCCCTTTCACCTTCTCACCTGCCACGTCAGCAACTGCCCTGTCCACGTCCATCAGCAGCGGCCCATAAACTGCCGCAGCCGGCCGGCCGCCAGCTGGCAGACCCGACGGGAACAGAGGTGCTGGAGAAGTAGCAGGGGCAGCAGCAGCAGAACTGGCAGCACCAGCAGCACTGCCGGCAGCAGCAGCAGCAGCAGCAGCAGCAGCAGCAGCAGCAACAGCAACAGCACCAGTAGCAGTGGCAGCAGTAGCACTGGCCACAGCAGCATTAGCAGCAGCATTGGCGGCAGCACTGAGGGCAGCAACGGGATCTTTAATAACCCTGCCGTCCCTGCCAGCCTCTACCTGCAGCACTCGCCCCACCACCTGCACCACCCGCCCCACGCACTCATGCCCCCCCCACAGCACCTGCCGCTGCCGCTGCTTCCGCTCCAAGTACGAAGCAGGGAGGGAGGTTGGTGTTGCTGCTGATGCTGATGCCGCCTTGCCACTGCTGCTGCTTCTGGTGATGCTGCCAGTGGTGGTGCCGCTGGTGGTGGTGGTGGTGGTAGTGGTGGTGGTGCTAGACGAAGTGGTGCTATACCACCAGAAGAGCAGCCGGTCCAGGTCGGCTTCTACAGTGGCGCCGGCCGCCTCCCACATCTGGATGGCTTCCGTTGTCTTTAGCACCACGGCCAGATCGGCGCAGATTTGGCTTAGCAGGGCAGTGCGTGAGGGGGGTGGCGATGGTTGCAGCTGCTGCCGGTGCTGCTTCTGCTGAATGCTGCCAGTACCACCACCACTACTGAGCCCAGAAGCATCAGCACCAGCGGCATCACCAAAGCCACTACAGTTCGCTGCCAGGGTGGCACCAACAGGGACAGGTGTCACAGATCCAGCTGGCAGCTGAGGCTCGTGCAGCCAATCAAAGCCTGCCAGCGCAGCACGTGCAGCAGCAAGGGCTGCCACGTGTGCAGCGTGCATGCGCGGGGATGGCACGGAAAGATTCGAATCGTCAGATGTGTGCTGCTTCCTGGCGTCAGCAGAACGCCTGCTGACCTCAGCCTGGCAGAACTGGCCAATGAGGGACGACAGAACTTGCCTGTCAACACCCACCGGAGCACCATCAAATGCAGCACCAGCAGCAACGGCAGCACCAGCGGCAGTGTTACCTGAACCACTAGCAGCAGCAGCAGCATCACCAGAACCATCGACAGCAACAGCAACAGCAGCATTGCCTGAACCACTGGCAGCAACAGCGGTGGCAGAATGAGCATGGAGCACAGCGGACAGATTGGCAGGATGCACGAACCAACACACCAGACCCTCCACTAGCGGCCCCACACACTCAGTAGTGTATGCCCTCAGCCAATCACGAATCGCCACATGGATCTTCTTGAAAAGAGCAGCTTCTCTACTCTGACTTCCCTCCTGCCCCTCCAAGTCCTCACCCCTTCCTTCTACCTCTGTGCCGGATATGCTTTTCTCGATACTCTCCTGCTTCCCCTCCTCAGCACGCCCTGCGTTTGCTGCCTTCCTCTCAGCCAGACAGGCTCGCAGCACTGCAGCCACCAGTTGCACCCGCACCACAAAAAGACGAACTGACGGAGGCAGACGGAGGAGAGGAGTGGAGGTTGCTGCTGGTTTTGCTGCAGCAGTAGTGGTGAGTGGAGCATCAAGAGCAGCAGGGACAGCAGAGGTTGGGAGGAGAGATAGGAAGGCAGAGTGGGCTGCTGCAAGAGAGTCAAACGACCGGTAGAGGTGGATCAGAGCAGTGCTGGAAGATGGGTCAAGGGGATGGGGCGGAGCAGGGAGAGGAGAGAGAGGAGAGAGAGGAGAGAGAGGAGAGGGAGCAAGGCCTGAATGCAATGGTGCTGATGCTTCCACTGCTGGAGCTGCGGATCCTGCTGCTGCCGACAATGCCGATGCTGCTGGTGGTGCTGATGCTGGTGATGCTGATGGTGGTGCGGGTGCAACAGCAACGCTAGGAACAGTGGAAGCAGCAGCAGCAGCAGTAGCAGCAGCAGCGGCTGCAGCAGCAGCACTAGCAACAAGAGCAGCTGCTCTGGCTGATGCCGCCTTGGCTGCTGCAACAGCTGCTGTTGCTGAAGGGGAAGAGATCGACAGAGGAGGCATAGGAGGAGGAGCAGCAGGCGCGGTGGCAGCAGCAGCAGCAGCAGCAGCAGCAGGCAGGGATGGGGAGTAGGGAGCAGCAGTGTGGTGTAGCATGGCCTGTCTGGGCACGAACGGGGCGGCATGAACAGTGTCTGCCAGCTGGAACTTGGGCTTGGGCGGCGGCGAGGGGGAGGAGGTGAGGGAGGAGGAAGAAGCGGGGTGAAAGGAGGAGGAGAGGGAGGAGGGGAGGGAGAAGGCTGGGGAAGGGACGAAGGGAGCGGGGAGAGGAGAGAGAGAGCTGAGGGGCTTGTGAGGTGTGGGGGATTGAGAGGGAGGGGAGGTGGGAGGGGATTGGGGAATAGAAGAATCAGGGCGAGGCGATGGAGAGACAGCAGGTTTTGGTTGCGATGGCTCGTGCTGCTGTGTGAGGGAGGGAGAGGAGGGTGCAGAGGCGGATTCATGAGTTCCCTTATTGTCTACCTTCTGCTCCCCTGCAACCTCTGCAGTAGGCGCGGCGGCATCACTAGCACCAGAAACATCAGCGCTAACAATATCAGCATTACCACTACCAGCAGCAGCACCAGCAGCAGGAGGAGCAACAGGAACAGCAGCGCCAACAGCAGCAGCAGCAGGGAGCGAGCCCATGAGCTGCTCTATAGCCCTCTCCTCCGTTTGGAGAGTACCCAGCAGCCATGAGTCACGGCCTGCCACATCACCACCCACACTGCCAATGCTGCTTCCCTCCCCCCCTTTACTATCACCATCCACAGCACCACTGCTGCTTTCCTTCCCCCCTCCACTATCACCACCTTTATTGTCACTTGTGGCCAGCTTCCCCCCTCCCTGCACCAGACACTCAACCCTTTCAGAAGCTTCCAGGAACTGGGCCACAAGAGGCGACAAGGCTGCTTGCTTGTCTAGTGACAAAGCGGCACTCGACATGTTCGGAACAGCGCTCGGAACTGGGCTCGGAAGTAGGCTCGGAACGAGGCTCGGCAGGTGGTGGTGGAGGTGGAGGGAATAGAGGGAGCGAGCAGCATGAAGCGCAGCAAGCGCTGCTTGCAAGGATTCTCTGAAGCAAGCAAGAGGAACTACTGCAGGAAGGTGCTCTGATACCATTGGAGCCAGTGAGGACACTGTGCCACCACTGCCTGCTGCAGCAACGAGGTGTGCATGAAGTGTGACGGACACACTGCTGCCTGCTACAGCTGCTTCTGCAGTGACATCAGCACTGCCTGCTGCGGTGCTTGCACCAGCAGCAGCAGCAGCAGCAGCAACAGCAGCAGCAGCAGCAGCAGCAGCAGCATCAGCAGGAACAGCAGCAGCAGCGGCAGAAACAGAAGCAGCAGTGGAAACATCAGTAGAAACCACATGAGCATCACAAGGAGCAACAGCGTCGGCATCAGGAGCTGTGTCTTGAGAGAGCGAAGGACGTGCAGGCAAGTGGGCAGGAGGAGTGGCAGGAGGTGAGGGCACAGGGGATGAAAGAGAGGGGATTGATAGAGGTCGGGGTGACAAGGAGGACAGGGAGTATGGCAGGGAGGGAGTGGCAGGAATGACAGCGGGACTAGGAAGCATTGGCTCCTGCTGCGTTGCTTCTCGCTGCTGCTGGGACGCCAGGTGCAGGGAAGGCAGCTGCTGGGTCTCAGGCAGTGCCACGTGCTGCTTTCCTGCAGACTCCTCTGCCAGCTCAGCATGCTCACTGCTCTGCTTCCCACCGCCAGCTGTCAGCTGAGTCAGCAGAGAGGCCAGTGCAGAGCCGAACAAAATTCTGCCCTCCACTCGTGCCATCACCCCTCGCAGCACTCCCTCTTGCGCTCGCTCCTTCGTTGCTCCCACTTGAGCTCCCTCTGTTTTGGATTCCTTCACGCCTGAGCCCTCTGTCAGCTCGTTCCCCGCTGTCTGCCATTCCTCTCTGCTGGAAGCATCACTGTCAGCAGCAGCAGCATCACCAGCGCCTGCTACTGCTGAGCCTGCTGCCGCTGCCAGGCCAACAGCTGCCACCAATGCGTGCAGCCTTCCCTGGTTGCCAGGGTTTAGGGTTTAGGGTTTAGGGTTTGGTGGCAGCAGAGGTGGCCAAAGAAACACTCATGAAGGCCTTTGAGGGGCGCAGGCGCACACGTCTGCCCATCGTGCTCACCACTGCTGCCAACTACGAGCCTGACTGTAAGTGGTGGTGATGGTAGTGAATGATCAATGTTGTAAGGCGCGTTGTGAGGAGAGAGAGTGAGAGACGCTCGTGAACGCGTTTGAGGGACGAAGGCGCACACGTCTGCCCATCGTGCTCACCACTGCTGCCAACTACGAACCAGATTGTGAGTTTAGCTGACTGACAGTAACCCGCAGGAGCACCACCTTGTCTGACTACCAGTGGTATGGTAGCAGCTACAAACTGGACCGTGACTGCCTTTACCGTGCCTGTGAGGTTCTGGCATGCCTTGTCAAAACCCATCTTCCCCCTCTTCTTACCGTGCATCTTCTCTGTTATCCTTCTCATGTCCTGCCATCTCTTCCCCGTTCCTCGCCTTCCCTTCTCTCTCTCTCTCCCCCACATCCCCACCTCAACCCCTCTCCCTTCTCGTTTCCTTCTCTCTCGTTCCCCACGCCCACATCCTCTCTGTCCAGCTGGCAGCCCCACATTGGTCTTCCTGCTGGCGCCTGTCAACGTGGCAAGCTCCCGGCGCTTCTCCCTGTTCAACCATTCGGGCGACTATGTGACGCACGCAGAGAGGGCACAGGAGATAGGTGCGTGCATACATGTCCGAATGCACTTGCGTGAACATCTGCGCATGTGTATATTTTGCGTGTGTATATTTTGTGTGTGTATATTTTGCGTGTGTATATTTTGCGTGTGTATATTTTGCGTGTGTATATTTTGTTTTGAGACGTCTCAAAACTACATCTATGCGTGTGTATATTTTGCGTGTGTGTGTGTGTGTGGGTGGGTCTATGCATGTGTGCTCTTGGCGGTGCTATTCCTGTTCAACCGTCGCGCAACTATGTGACGCGTGCTGAGAGAAAGCAGGAGGTAGGTAGGTGCGTGCGTGCGTGCATGATTCAGGCGCACGCTGAGGCGTCCTGAAAATGCGTCGAGTCGCCTCTCACCACCTTTCCCCTTGACCTCTTCCCCCACCCACCTGTGCCAGGTTACTCTCCTTTCCCCCTTGCAGTGGCCAAGGCACTGCCCAAGTCGCGCCTGGTGATGCTTTACGAGGGCTGTGGAGGGCTCTTCACAGAAGTGCCTTAAGAGACCTGCATTGGCACATTGCCTCATCCCTCTCTCTCTCTCTCCCGACATCAGTGGCCAAGGCACTGCTCAAGTCGCGACTGGTGGTGATGCTTTACGAGGGCTGTGGGGAAGCGGGTTGGGGCTTCTAAGGTGCCTCGAACCACATGCATTTCAAGGCACCCTGCACATGTTTCAAGACGTCTCCAACCAACCACACAAACCCGTTCTTCCTCCCCCCTTCTCTCCCTTACTCAAACGTCCGCCTGCCCCATATTTCCCTCTCCCTGCAGTGGCCAAGGCCCTACCCAAGTCGCGACTGGTGGTGGTACTCTATGAGGGGTGCGGGGGGCTCTTCACAGAGGCCACACTGGACTCCCTGCGACTCAAACCAGACAAGGCAAGCTCCGGGCTAAGGTTAAGGGTTGAAGGTTGATGGTCGAGGGTTTTGAGACGTCTCAAAACAAGGCAAGCTCCGGGCTAAGGTTAAGGGTTGAAGGTTGATGATCGAGAGGCTGTGGTTCCTTCTGGTTTACGGTTTACCTTGTCAGGGCTGTGGGGGGCTTTTCAATGTTTCCAAGCCACACGAAGCGTTCCATGCTCTCAGTCAACATGGCAGGCCTTTCTTCAACCATTCGTCCCTTTTCTCTTTCAAATTGCTTCTCTTCATCCCCATGGTTCCTTTTGAGGCGCCTCAACATTCTTTTTCCTTTTTTCAAAATGCTGTTCTTCATTCCCATACCTCCACAAAGGTGGCGTACGAGGTGATTCCCAACGACATGCGTTTCAACAGGAGCCACGAGCCACAAGCTGGTCGTGCTGTGGGTGGATAAGGCGGAGTGGTGCAATTGCCACTCTCAATAAGGGTGTCGGACCTTCCTCAAAGAACACACCCTGATCTCACTTTATCCCTTTGTCCACACAGGTGGCATACGAGGTGATCCCAAAGGACATGGATTTCCCCAAGAGCCACAACCTGGTGGTGGCATGGGTGGATAAGACCGAGGGGGTGTGGTGTGTTGCTGTGGTGCTACTATTCTGTTCCACATGGCAGGCCTTTCTTCAACCGTTCATCTCTTCAAAATTCCCATGCTCATTCCCCACTCTGCACAGGTGGCATACGAGGTGATCCCCAAGGACATGGATTTTCCCAAGAGCCACAACCTGGTGGTGCCATGGGTGGATAAGATGGAGGGGGTGAAGACAACCGACAGTGAGAGGGAGAGCGATCTGTCCTCCGTGATTCGAGCGCAGCCGTGGGCCCAGTACCTGTTGGGGAGGAGTGGGCGGATAGGGCAGGTTCACAGCCAGCTGCTGTAGATGAAATGCCGGAGGGTGCTTTTGAGAATTCTCAAGGGCGCAGTTCTTGCTGGGGAGGAGCAGGATGATAGGGTAAGTGCACAGCCAACTGCTGTGAGAGTGGTGTGTTGGGATGGGCTTTAATTCTTGACTGAGAGTGAAGACGACTGACAGCGAGAGGGAGAGCGATTTGTATTTGGTAATTCGAGCGCAGCCATGGGGTGCAGTAGTATACCTGCTGGGGAGAGCGGGAGGATAGGGCAGATGCACAGCCATTTACTGTCGATGGATGGAATGTGGGCGTGTGTCATCTATCTAGATTCTTTCATGTAATTTTTGTGTTGACAGATCCATTTATGTTTAGCGACACATGACCTGTTTGCTATTTCTAGAGATCTAAATTCCAGTTGTGTGGTGTTTTTTTTTTTTTGCATGAACTGGTTTACAGCTCCACGGAAGAAAAGTAAGAACTATGGCTGTGGTGAATTCGACACCTCTAAAGCGCGTACGCGTCACCGTGCCAGAGCATTCTCTGCCCAGCCATGTCAACCCGAGAACCGCCTTGGGAATGACGGAGAAATGTTCGCATTGCACCCACCCTGTCATCCCTTGGGAATCACGAATTCGCATCACACGTCGATCAGTCCAAGACCTCTTTAGGATGGGTCAGGAGGAAATGCCATACATCCTACCTAAAAGTTCATCGATAGGACGTGTGGTTCGTGGATAACCTTTCTTTCTTGCAAGCAGGGGTTTCGGGGAAATGGTTTCACTCTCGTCTTGACCTGATTACTTGTGTTTGGCCTCGCGTCTCCCCGTCCTCGTTTCTTCGCGACTCCGACGCTGCTCATGGCTCCTACCAGCGCTTCCCCTCTCGCCTTTTCTCGTCCTCTCGTGCAAGTTTCGCCCCCCGCAAGTTCTCTCACCATTCGCTCTCCAATAGCCTCTCGAATCTCTCTCTTCGTCCCCACGCCCACTGATTCTCGCTGTAGTTCCTCTCCGGCTCGCTGTGTAAACTGCAACTCACGGGCACCCTTAGTTTTTCCACAAACAAATCAGCGTCACGCTGTTTCGTCCAGCTCAGTTTCTGCTCGTCACCAGCCCCTCTTCAACCGCTCTCCAACGCCCTTGCGCCACGTGTCTAGTTCATCGCAGCTCACATCCGTCTCTTGCGCTGCTGCTGATGCTGATGCTGCCGGTGCTGCCGCAAAGGGCGGGAGCGAGGTAGAGAAAGGAACGATGATGGACCGCGGAAATGACGATGATGCTGACGTCATCATGGCTCCTGATGTTCGATTGGCTCCAGAGGCACGAATCCGTCCCCATATGAAATCTTCGACTCACGATGGGCAGACGTGTGCGCCTTCGTCCCTCAAACGCGTTCACGAGCGTCTCTCACTCTCTCTCCTCACAACGCGCCTTACAACATTGATCATTCACTACCATCACCACCACTTACAGTCAGGCTCGTAGTTGGCAGCAGTGGTGAGCACGATGGGCAGACGTGTGCGCCTGCGCCCCTCAAAGGCCTTCATGAGTGTTTCTTTGGCCACCTCTGCTGGCACCAGGTCCCCAAACCTTTTGCAGAGGAGAAGCCCATGGGAGGGGGCACGTACGGCTGGGTGGCAGTACAGGCGGCATCCAAGATGTGGCTGGTGCCAGCAGAGGTGGCCAAGGAGACTGCATCCCACCCATCCCACTTTTGTCCTGCTCTTCCTCACCCTCTGCTCCACTCCACTCCCTCACTCCCCTAACTTTCGACAGAGGAGAATCCCACGGTAGGGGGCGCGTACGGGTGGGTGGCAGTGCAGGCAGCGTCCAAGATGCGCCTGGTACCAGCAGAGGCGGCCAAGGGAGGCTCAGTCCCATCCACATTACTCATCCACCAATGCACATTCACTCCTCCACACCGTCTGCAGAGGAGAATCCCACGGGAGGGGGCGCGTATGGGTGGGTGGCGGTACAGGCGGCATCCAAGATGCGCCTGGTGCCAGCAGAGGTGGCCAAAGAAACACTCATGAAGGCCTTTGAGGGGCGCAGGCGCACACGTCTGCCCATCGTGCTCACCACTGCTGCCAACTACGAGCCTGACTGTAAGTGGTGGTGATGGTAGTGAATGATCAATGTTGTAAGGCGCGTTGTGAGGAGAGAGAGTGAGAGACGCTCGTGAACGCGTTTGAGGGACGAAGGCGCACACGTCTGCCCATCGTGCTCACCACTGCTGCCAACTACGAACCAGATTGTGAGTTTAGCTGACTGACAGTAACCCGCAGGAGCACCACCTTGTCTGACTACCAGTGGTATGGTAGCAGCTACAAACTGGACCGTGACTGCCTTTACCGTGCCTGTGAGGTTCTGGCATGCCTTGTCAAAACCCATCTTCCCCCTCTTCTTACCGTGCATCTTCTCTGTTATCCTTCTCATGTCCTGCCATCTCTTCCCCGTTCCTCGCCTTCCCTTCTCTCTCTCTCTCCCCCACATCCCCACCTCAACCCCTCTCCCTTCTCGTTTCCTTCTCTCTCGTTCCCCACGCCCACATCCTCTCTGTCCAGCTGGCAGCCCCACATTGGTCTTCCTGCTGGCGCCTGTCAACGTGGCAAGCTCCCGGCGCTTCTCCCTGTTCAACCATTCGGGCGACTATGTGACGCACGCAGAGAGGGCACAGGAGATAGGTGCGTGCATACATGTCCGAATGCACTTGCGTGAACATCTGCGCATGTGTATATTTTGCGTGTGTATATTTTGTGTGTGTATATTTTGCGTGTGTATATTTTGCGTGTGTATATTTTGCGTGTGTATATTTTGTTTTGAGACGTCTCAAAACTACATCTATGCGTGTGTATATTTTGCGTGTGTGTGTGTGTGTGGGTGGGTCTATGCATGTGTGCTCTTGGCGGTGCTATTCCTGTTCAACCGTCGCGCAACTATGTGACGCGTGCTGAGAGAAAGCAGGAGGTAGGTAGGTGCGTGCGTGCGTGCATGATTCAGGCGCACGCTGAGGCGTCCTGAAAATGCGTCGAGTCGCCTCTCACCACCTTTCCCCTTGACCTCTTCCCCCACCCACCTGTGCCAGGTTACTCTCCTTTCCCCCTTGCAGTGGCCAAGGCACTGCCCAAGTCGCGCCTGGTGATGCTTTACGAGGGCTGTGGAGGGCTCTTCACAGAAGTGCCTTAAGAGACCTGCATTGGCACATTGCCTCATCCCTCTCTCTCTCTCTCCCGACATCAGTGGCCAAGGCACTGCTCAAGTCGCGACTGGTGGTGATGCTTTACGAGGGCTGTGGGGAAGCGGGTTGGGGCTTCTAAGGTGCCTCGAACCACATGCATTTCAAGGCACCCTGCACATGTTTCAAGACGTCTCCAACCAACCACACAAACCCGTTCTTCCTCCCCCCTTCTCTCCCTTACTCAAACGTCCGCCTGCCCCATATTTCCCTCTCCCTGCAGTGGCCAAGGCCCTACCCAAGTCGCGACTGGTGGTGGTACTCTATGAGGGGTGCGGGGGGCTCTTCACAGAGGCCACACTGGACTCCCTGCGACTCAAACCAGACAAGGCAAGCTCCGGGCTAAGGTTAAGGGTTGAAGGTTGATGGTCGAGGGTTTTGAGACGTCTCAAAACAAGGCAAGCTCCGGGCTAAGGTTAAGGGTTGAAGGTTGATGATCGAGAGGCTGTGGTTCCTTCTGGTTTACGGTTTACCTTGTCAGGGCTGTGGGGGGCTTTTCAATGTTTCCAAGCCACACGAAGCGTTCCATGCTCTCAGTCAACATGGCAGGCCTTTCTTCAACCATTCGTCCCTTTTCTCTTTCAAATTGCTTCTCTTCATCCCCATGGTTCCTTTTGAGGCGCCTCAACATTCTTTTTCCTTTTTTCAAAATGCTGTTCTTCATTCCCATACCTCCACAAAGGTGGCGTACGAGGTGATTCCCAACGACATGCGTTTCAACAGGAGCCACGAGCCACAAGCTGGTCGTGCTGTGGGTGGATAAGGCGGAGTGGTGCAATTGCCACTCTCAATAAGGGTGTCGGACCTTCCTCAAAGAACACACCCTGATCTCACTTTATCCCTTTGTCCACACAGGTGGCATACGAGGTGATCCCAAAGGACATGGATTTCCCCAAGAGCCACAACCTGGTGGTGGCATGGGTGGATAAGACCGAGGGGGTGTGGTGTGTTGCTGTGGTGCTACTATTCTGTTCCACATGGCAGGCCTTTCTTCAACCGTTCATCTCTTCAAAATTCCCATGCTCATTCCCCACTCTGCACAGGTGGCATACGAGGTGATCCCCAAGGACATGGATTTTCCCAAGAGCCACAACCTGGTGGTGCCATGGGTGGATAAGATGGAGGGGGTGAAGACAACCGACAGTGAGAGGGAGAGCGATCTGTCCTCCGTGATTCGAGCGCAGCCGTGGGCCCAGTACCTGTTGGGGAGGAGTGGGCGGATAGGGCAGGTTCACAGCCAGCTGCTGTAGATGAAATGCCGGAGGGTGCTTTTGAGAATTCTCAAGGGCGCAGTTCTTGCTGGGGAGGAGCAGGATGATAGGGTAAGTGCACAGCCAACTGCTGTGAGAGTGGTGTGTTGGGATGGGCTTTAATTCTTGACTGAGAGTGAAGACGACTGACAGCGAGAGGGAGAGCGATTTGTATTTGGTAATTCGAGCGCAGCCATGGGGTGCAGTAGTATACCTGCTGGGGAGAGCGGGAGGATAGGGCAGATGCACAGCCATTTACTGTCGATGGATGGAATGTGGGCGTGTGTCATCTATCTAGATTCTTTCATGTAATTTTTGTGTTGACAGATCCATTTATGTTTAGCGACACATGACCTGTTTGCTATTTCTAGAGATCTAAATTCCAGTTGTGTGGTGTTTTTTTTTTTTTGCATGAACTGGTTTACAGCTCCACGGAAGAAAAGTAAGAACTATGGCTGTGGTGAATTCGACACCTCTAAAGCGCGTACGCGTCACCGTGCCAGAGCATTCTCTGCCCAGCCATGTCAACCCGAGAACCGCCTTGGGAATGACGGAGAAATGTTCGCATTGCACCCACCCTGTCATCCCTTGGGAATCACGAATTCGCATCACACGTCGATCAGTCCAAGACCTCTTTAGGATGGGTCAGGAGGAAATGCCATACATCCTACCTAAAAGTTCATCGATAGGACGTGTGGTTCGTGGATAACCTTTCTTTCTTGCAAGCAGGGGTTTCGGGGAAATGGTTTCACTCTCGTCTTGACCTGATTACTTGTGTTTGGCCTCGCGTCTCCCCGTCCTCGTTTCTTCGCGACTCCGACGCTGCTCATGGCTCCTACCAGCGCTTCCCCTCTCGCCTTTTCTCGTCCTCTCGTGCAAGTTTCGCCCCCCGCAAGTTCTCTCACCATTCGCTCTCCAATAGCCTCTCGAATCTCTCTCTTCGTCCCCACGCCCACTGATTCTCGCTGTAGTTCCTCTCCGGCTCGCTGTGTAAACTGCAACTCACGGGCACCCTTAGTTTTTCCACAAACAAATCAGCGTCACGCTGTTTCGTCCAGCTCAGTTTCTGCTCGTCACCAGCCCCTCTTCAACCGCTCTCCAACGCCCTTGCGCCACGTGTCTAGTTCATCGCAGCTCACATCCGTCTCTTGCGCTGCTGCTGATGCTGATGCTGCCGGTGCTGCCGCAAAGGGCGGGAGCGAGGTAGAGAAAGGAACGATGATGGACCGCGGAAATGACGATGATGCTGACGTCATCATGGCTCCTGATGTTCGATTGGCTCCAGAGGCACGAATCCGTCCCCATATGAAATCTTCGACTCATATAATCATTGCAAATTTACAATGATTTGTTTTCGTCGGGTTCGCCATGCAGTCACCTCATAGATGTCCACCTCGTATCTCATGATTCGATAAGCAACCTCTGATTGTTCATCATGCGGATAATCTGGACATTGTTTTCATCTTTCACCAGATTCCCCTTCTAATTTCACGATTGCAGATTCACCTTAGTAACAGATTCATCTTCACTAATCAATCCCTAATTCCCCACTCCATCCCCCATTCTCTTCCCCCTCCTCACACTACCCCAGATCGCGTACATCCTCCCCCCTCCCCCTGAGGACCAACCCACACCAGATACCACCTCCCCCTCTCCCTCCTCCCCTCCCTACCTCCTCCTCGTCGCCCCCGGCGGCTTCATCCCCGCTCTCTCCTACCTCCCTGTCATCCGCGCTATAAGATCCGCTGCCCCCTCCTCTCTACGCACGCGCCTGTGGGTGGCCGTACTGAAGGAAACTACCGCATTGGATCCCGAGAAAGGGAGAGCGTGGGCGCGGGACGGGTATGAGGCGGCGGTAGCAGCGATAAAGGAGATGGGTGCGGATGTGACAAATAGGGGCAGCACCTCGCGCGTGTTTGTGCTGGGACACAGGTGAGTTGACTTGACTTGTATGTCGAGTCCTGAGTTGACTTTCCTGTTGAATTTTTCGTTGCATTTTGAGCTGACTTTTGAGGCGCCTCAAATTGCAGTTGCCTTTCTCGTTGACTTTCTTGTTGCCTTTCTCGTTCACCTTTTGAGCCGACTTCTGAGTCGACTTGTAAGCTGATTGACATCTGTGTGACGCGAGCTTTGCCACAGCCTGGCCTCCTTTTCATCGGAGCATATCACACATACTGTTCATCAACCAGTGTTCAGCACACACAGAACTTTCCAGTCCTTTGTGTAGTACACACGTTTCTGGGGAGAGGCCTCCTCCAGGGAAGAAACTTCTCTCCCTTTTCTCCCCCGCCTGCCTGCCCCGTTCCCTCTGCTCACCCCCCACCTACCTACCCAGCATCAAAGCCTTTTTGACTACCTCAGTCGATCACGAATGCCACAATACTCTCTTCCTTTCCTTCAAGGAAATCCTTTATTTTTTCCTTCTGCTCCCTCCCATCTGCCCGCATCTGAGCCTTTCTCATGACAGCAGTGGAGCGAGAGGCCTGCCTGGGTCCCATCTCATGGGCATCTGAGCCTCACACAGTGATTAAGAAATTACCCTCCCTCCCCCCCCCACCCGCTACCAGCATCGGAGCCGCGTCATGACAGCAGTGGTGTGAGAGGCGTGCCTGACCCTCATCCGCAATGGTGCCTCACACACTCATCAAGAAACCACTATCTCTAGTTTTGAGACGTCTCAAAACGAGACGTCTCAAAACCACACTCATCAAGAAACCACTATCTCTAGTTCCTCTCCCCTTATTTCCCCCCAAACCTTCCCCTCTCCCACTCACCCCCCACCAGCATCGGGGCGTTTGCCATGACAGCAGTGGTGAGAGAGGCGTTGCTGGCGCTCATCAGCATCGGCGCGTTTGCCATGACATCAGCATCGGCGCCTCATACAGTGCTCAAAGAAACCACTCTCTCGCTCCTTCTCCTTGCGCCCTTAACCCTGCCTGACCCCGACCAGCATCGGATCATTTCTTATGACAGCAGTGGTGCGAGAGAAATGCCTGGCGCTCATCAGCATTGGAGCCTCACACAACAGCCTAGAGACCTCCTTCCTGCAATTCCCAAGGCCCACGCTCACCATTCTCGGTGACAGGGACGGCCAGGCTCCTCCCATTGCTATGGCACTGGCAGTCAAGGAGCTGGACCCTGGATCCTCAGGTGCCCCAGGTGATTTTTCAGGTGATTCTTCAGGTGGTTCTTCTGTTGCTGCTGATGCACCTGGCACGACAGCAGCAGCGCTGGGGCCACTGCTGTCCATAGTGCAGAAACCGTTTGTGATTATAAAGGGCATGAATCATGCGCAGGGGGGGAACGGGGTGGTGAACCGAGAGAGGGGCGACCTGGACGCGTCTCGACCAATCAAGGAGGTGCGGGAGGAGATTGGGCGGCTGGTTTCGGCGTTTATGCTGCTGCACCTGCACTCGGGGAACGGCTGGGCTCCGATGCTGTTGGCGGGTAGGGAGGGGGTTAGTGGAGGGGTGGGAGGGGAGGGAGGGGAGGGAGGGGAGGAGGAGCATATGGCTGAGACACAGCGTAGTGCGGTGAAGGTGCTGCAGCGGGCTGTGGAGTGGTCGTTGGAGTACCTGCGACCAGTGTGGAAGGCCCTGGACGTGGAAAGGGGCGAGCCTCACCATGTGCTGGTCAGTGCTCTCCTTCCTTCTCCCTTTGGTTCTGTCAATTGCGGCCATGTGGCTTGCCTTAGAAAGGCAGGGGTTTGATTGCATAGCCTGTAAGCATGCGCCCTTGCGTCGTGAGAGGTGTTTGAGGATTCTGAAAGGTCCGTTACTCGCTGCTAATTCAATAGGGTTATGACGAATGTATGCGTGTTTGCTTGCCTTGGGGTGCCTCGACTCTAGAATTCTCGCTTACAGTTCACCTCACCCCTCCTTCCCTCTCCTTCACGCCCAAACCTTCTTCCCCTTCGAGTCCGTCCCCTTCCATATCGTATACCTTGATCCCCCACTCTGTACCCATCTATATTGGAGTGACTTTTGAGAATTCTCAAAAGTCCTTCCATATCGTATACCTTGATCCCCCACTTTGTACCCATCTCGCCATCCTCTCCCACTCCTCACCGCACATCCTCTTCCCCTCTCCCACCCCTTCCAACAGGACTCCATCCTCTCCCACGCAGGCCTCCCCACCACTCTCCCCTCACACACCATCTTCCACGCCTTCCTGCCCGACTTCCTCCAGTCCAAGCCCGCCCTCCTCCTCGCCTCACAGGAAAGCCCGTTCCAAAGTAATTCCTCTCTGGGGGGCTCCTCTCAGGACGGCTCCTCCTCGCCTCCTACCGTGCTGCAGTCTGCATGGCTGCAATCGCAGGGTAAGTTCTGGCCGTGCCAGCCGCACACCCTGTGGGTCAAGTGCAAGAGCGCTGCTGCTATCAGGGAGGCTCTTGGCTTGGAGCTTGCTGGGGTAGAGGGAGACGCAGCAGTGACGCCTGTAGGAGCAGCAGGAACAGAAAAGCCCTCTCTTGAAGCCGCGTTTTCGGCATGGGCGGCAGCGGCGCCAATGGAAGTGCGCCACGTGGCGGCGTCGATCAACGAGGCAGCGATGCAACGGGCTCTGGAGATGGTGCACCCGCATGCGAGAGAGAGGTATGAGAGAGACGGGAAGAAGGTGGTGTTTGGGGAGGACAGGATCGTGCCTATCGATCAGTGGATCAAATCTGATGTGGAGTGGTCATTTAAGGAGGGCATGGAGGGAGATAAGGGGGATGATAAGGAGGGAGGAGTAATTGGAGAGAGAGGGGTTGTGGTGGTGAGGTCTCCTGTTTTGATTACTGCTGATGAGATTCTTCCTGTGGAGTTGAAGGGGAGGTTTGGGGGAATGCACTATGTGAAGGTGATCACCGTAGCTCGTGCAATGCAATGGATTATGCTGGATGCTTTTAGGTAAGAGAGGTAAACGTATGCTGGCTTTCATATGCCCTCGTGCTGGGTCTGACGCTGTAAATGCATGTACATATGTAATAGGAAGTATGATAGGAAGCTTCGTGGTTCATCTATGCATAGGTGGAAATGTCATTGTGGACAGAGTGCTACCCTAGCTGGACGGTTCAGTGCAAGAATAGTTGGATTTGTATGCTAGCAGAGGTTGACTATTGATAACAACAAGGGGCAGAAGAAAAAGTACCATAAATACACCATCAGTGGGGATATACCTAATTTTGTGTGTTTTTTACGTTTGTTACCGTGCGCCTGAGTTTTATAATCAGGCGTATGTTTAGCAACGCCAAAATGCCCTGCGCCGATGTATGTGGGCGACGGCTTGCGAATTGCTGTGGTAGAATCAGTTTACTACCGACACAAATCCCTTTCCACACCCACACCCGCTACTTCTAAGTCAGAATCGCTGTGAAACTCGCAATCATCTTACTTGCTGCTGTTGTGCCACTCGTCGGTGTTTCTGCATCACCCACTCGTAAAAGCCTCTCCAGCGTGCTTGCACGGTTTTTTTAGAGTTCTATGCAACGCCACGCGTCTTCATTGCCGCGATTGTCCGTCAATTGCGCTGCTGCTGCTGCTGCTGCTGCTGCTGGTGTTTCTGGCGTTAGCCGTGGGAGCGAGAGAAAGGAAAAGAAACGATGACGGACCGTGAGAAGGATAGGAACGTCGCTGATGACGATGATGATTCCATCGTTGCTACGCAGGTGCGACATTTTATCCAGGTGTGTTTTGAGTCGACTCAAAACACACCTGACGACAACAATGATACTCAGGTGCACATGGCTCCACACACACGAATTCATTACCCCCAAATTGTCCAACAATTGCAGATTTGGCAGATTCGCATTCATTATTTCATTGCAGAATCACCTCGCAGTCACCTCGTAATAGTCGTACGCACCGTATGATTACACATGATAGAAAGTTCGTATCAGCTTTCGCCTGGTAACAGATTCTCCTTTCCGTATCAAAATCACCTTATCATCAGTCAATGACCTATTCGCCTTAAACTTAATTTTCGATTCTCAAAACCCACTTCTCTTCCATCCCCCCTGTCTCTTCCGTGCACATACACCACTCCAGCTCGCATACATCCTCCCCCCTCCCCCTGAGGCCCAACCCACCCCAGATACCACCTCCCCTCTCCCTCCTCGCCTCCCTACCTCCTCCTGGTCGCCCCCGGCGGATTCATCCCCGCGCTCTCCTACCTCCCTCTCATCCGCGCTATAAGATCCGCCGCTCCCTCCTCTCTACGCGCGCGCCTGTGGGCGGCCGTACTGAAGGAGATCACAGTGCCAGACCAGGAGAAAGGGAGGGCGTGGGCTCGGGACGGGTATGAGGCAGCAGTGAAAGCGGTCAAGGAGATGGGCGCGGATGTGGGCAGTGGCGGGTTGGGCACTCCGCGGGTGTTTGTGCTGGGACACAGGTGTGTTGTGAAGGGGGGCATGGGCCTGGGAGTGAAGATGCTAGTCGGGCACAAGTGCTGAGTGAAGATGCTAGTCCGGCAAGGGTGCAGCGGTTGTGAATGAAGGAGATGGGCCAGAGGGGGTTGGGGGGTGGATGCGTCCCGCTTGTCGCTCAACGCTCAACTTAAGACGCTCAACAACAACACTGAACGCTCAGGTTGTGGCTCTCTCTCTCTCACCTCTGCCTCTCTCTCTCCTCTGTCTCATGAACAAGCAACAGACTCTCACGCTGCCTGCCTCTGTTTCTCTTCCCCTCCCTCCAGCTTCACCTCCCCATTCAGCGTGGGAGCGTTGCTCATGACCTCAGTGGTGCGTGAATCGTCCCTCGCCTTTATCCAGATTGGAGCATGGTACAACTCCCAGGAAACTTCGCTGCTGCAATTCCCAAGGCCCATTCTCACCATCCTCGGTGACAGGGACGGCCAGGCTCCCCCCATCACCATGGCGCTAGCAGTCAAGGAGCTGGACCCTGGATCCTCAGGTGTTTTTTCAGGTGATTCTTCAGGTGGTTCTTCTGTTGCTGCTGCGCCTGGCAGCGCAACAGCAGCAGCGCTGGGACCACTGCTGTCCACTGTCCAGAAACCGTTTGTGATTATAAAGGGTATGAATCATGCGCAGGGGGGGAACGGGGTGGTGAACCGAGAGAGGGGCGACCTGGATGCGTCTCGACCAATCGAGGAGGTGCGGGAGGAGATTGGGCGGCTGGTTTCGGCGTTTATGCTGCTGCACCTGCACTCAGAGAACGGCTGGGCGCCGCTGCTGCTGGCAGGCGACAGAGGGTTGAGAATGGGAGTCAATGCGAGCAGTGGAGGGGAGAAATTGGAGGAGAGTGCGGTGGCGCTGCTGCAGCGGGCTGTGGAGTGGTCCTTGGAGTACCTGCGACCAGTGTGGAAGGCCCTGGAGATGGAGAGACACGAGCCTCACCACGTGCTGGTCAGTCCGCCCCTTGCCTCTCCCTTGCATGCTTGCTTGCGCTTCTCCTCAACCCCAATCCTTTGCTACCTCCCATTTCCTTTGTACCTACCCCCCCTTCCCCCTCTCCCCCTCCTCCCACAGTGCCCATCCTGACACCCTCTCTCACACACACTGCCCACTACTCTCTCTCACTTCACTCCTCCTTCCCACTCCGGCTCCCAATAACAGGATGCGATCCTTTCTCCCAAGGCAGGCCTATCAACCTCTCTCTGTTCGCACTTTTGAGGCGCCTCAAAAGTCGTTCTGAGGCTCCTTAAAAACAGGATGTGATCCTTTCTCCCACAGATAGGCCTATCAACCTCTCTCTCTTTGCACTCCACTTCCCTTGCCTTCTTATCACTCTCCATCCATCCACGTTCCCCTCCTCTCCCACCCCTTCCAGAAGAAGGAATTGTCTCCCACGCAGTCCTACCAACCTTTCTCTCATTCCTTCCCGCCATGCTTCACTTAACCATTCCCTCCTGCTCCCCACCTTCCGCACCTTCCCCACCTCACTCCGCCATTCTCTCCCACGCAGGCCTTCCCCAGCCCTCTCCTCACACACCATCTTTCATGCCTTCTTACCACACTCAACCCATTCACGTTCCCCTCCTCTCCCACACCTTCCCACAGGACGCCATTCTCTCCCACGCGGGCCTACCAACATCGCTCCCCTCGCACACCCTCGTCCATGCCTTCTTACCAGACTTCATCCGCTCCAAGCCTGCCCTCCTCGCCTCTCGGAAAGAAAATCTTTCAGGCCCCCGGCCAGGAGGGCTCCTCTCAGGAAGGCCTCTGCCAGGAGGGCTCCTCTCAGGAAGGCCCCTCACAGGAGGGCTCCACCCAATTCTCCTCTCCTCCAACCGTGCTCCTCCTCCAGTCCGCATGGTTGCAGTCTCAGGGTAAGCTCTGGCCTTGCCAGCCGCACACTCTGTGGGTCAAGTGCAAGAGCGCTGCTGCTATTGGGGAGGCTCTTGGCTTGCAGCTTGCAGGAGCAGGGGGGAACGCAGCAATGACGCTGGTGGCTCCAGCAGCAGCAGCTGCAGAAGTACCAGCAGCACAGCAGCAGAAGAACCAGCAGCAGTGGAAACAGGAGTGAAAGCAGCAGCAGGAGTACCAGCAGCAGCAGCAGCAGGAGCAGCAGGGGCGGGAATACCTTCTCTTAAAGCTGCATTGATGGCTTGGGCAGCAGCAGCGCCAATGAGAGTGCGCCACGTGGCGGCGTCAATCAACGAGGCAGCGATGCAACGAGCTCTGGAGATGGTTCACCCGCATGCGAGAGAGAGGTACGAGCGAGAGGGGAAGAAAGTGGTGTTTGGGGCGGATAAGATAGTGCCAAGTGATGTATGGATCGCAGCTGATGTAGAGTGGTTGTTTGGGGAGGGAGAGGAGGGAATGGGGGGAGCAACGGAGGGAGGGAAGGGATTCAAGGAGGGGATGAAGGAGGGGGATAAGGAGGATGAGGAGGAAAGAGGTGCAGATGGAGGGAGAGGGGTTGTGGTGGTGAGGTCGCCTGTTTTGATTACTGCTGATGAGATTCTTCCCGCAGAGTTGAAGGAGAGTTTTGGGGGAATGCACTATGTGAAGGTGATTACTGTAGCTCGTGCTATGCAATGGATTATGCTTGATGCCTTTAGGTAAAAGGTGAACGCATGTTGGCCTTTTCTTGCACTGTGTGTTGGGCCTGATACAGCAAATGGCTATTTTACATTTTGCATATAGATATGTAATCTGGTAATTTCAAAATCACATGCTGTGATCAATTGATTAAATTTACAGGACTATTTTCGTCAGAGAGGATATGGGTTCCTAAAACAGCCAAACCAGCTAAATCATTTTAAAGTGCGACACAGCACTTTTTAACCACATCTACTAGTCGTTTTCCTTTCTGTACTCTGAGTGCTTGTTGGTAGCCTGCAGCAGTTAATAAAGCAGAAGCGCAGAGTACAATTCTCGGCACTCCCGTGATGGGCGGTGTTCGGCAGCCAGGGGAGAGGCTTTGAGGAAGATCAAAATGCCGGGCCACCAGGTTCGAGATTGTCGAACCAGGCAAAAAATCCCGGTCAGAACAAGAAAAATGTGAAAAACCCACCAAACCTCGGCCTTCAAGGCGCCGCGAACCCCAAGCTAGAGTGTCGCCCGCGCCGCATCCCCTCCACAACCTCCCCCTTTGCGGAACTTCTCCGCCCTAGAGGGGGGGGATCCAAATCTGATTCCCTTTGCTGCCGCTCGAGAATGAGGAATCCAGTTCTGATCCCGCGTACATTCCCCAACCAGACTTCACATTACCCTGAAAAGGAATGCAAAAAACAACCTGTAGCCTAAACCAGCCTCCAACGCTGTAGTGTAAAACTGTGCCAAAATTGTAGATAAGAAACGCATAAGTAATTCGACCACCATTTCTTCTATAGTGTCCGTTGGTCCTAAGTGATTAAGAGGGTCGAAATGTAGGTTTAGTGAAATAGGTTCCGTCATTTGCGCTAACCCTAAAATGAGGCGTTCAACTGCCAAATCTCGAGTTGTCTATGTTTGTAATCTTCCTGTGTGGTTGTGACGGGCCCAACGCCCACACTTCCCTTGTGTGTCGCCTTTATTTTTGAGATTCATTATTTACCCTTTTCACTCATCCGTACAGTGTTTTCGGGCTTTTTTATTTGGCGTGCGATAACCCTTTTCTAGGGTGGAAGTTTCTCGTCCTGTCCAACGCAGCTTCGACCCCCCTCCGCCATCTCGATATTTTCCATCCGCGAGCTCCCCCCGTCCCCCCGTTTGCGCCAGGACCGAAAGCCTGGGGTCAACTCTGGTCCTCCTAGAGTTGACCCATCCAACTAGGGGCGAGGCTGGCCATTTCGGATCCCTCGCCCCAACCCCCCCTGTATCCCCTGGCCTGCCGAACATGGCCATGGACTCGAGTTAGGACGCGTCCCCTTTTTCCGACCCTGGCTCGTTCGGCGGTATTCACACCGATCGCAAGATTGGCAGGCGATCGGTGTGTCTGGCTGCAAATCTGCAATTACACCAGGTCGCGCCGCACCAACACACGGGAAGCCTGGGAAATTTGAGGAAGTAGAGGCCAGCAAACACAGGTCGATGCGTTGACAGGGGCACATCGATCGCCTAAACCGCCGTGGACATGTTCGTGACGTCATGATCACTGTATACTCGCCAACACACACGAACTCTGGTAACATGGTCTATCACGACGCTACAGCTGCTTCGTACCCTCCCAAGATCGATCCTGGGGACCCAGGATCGGAAAAAGGTGATGCGTCCTTAGTACAGCGACGAACGATGCAATGCTAGCCATTGCCAAAGTTTTGTGTGAATCAAATCTGATTCTGGCATTAGCCAGTGAGCCCACCCTGACATTAGCCTTACCAGCGATGGTTTGAGCAGCGCGGCGGCTCGTAAGCTTCTTAAATTGCGGCCCGCGTGGAAAGCGATGATTCGAGCAGCGGCGGCGTCTGGCGAAGGAATTGCGTCTCGGAGGAACTGAGCCTCGGCGTGTTGTTGCTGATTCACTCAAGGCGAGGCAAGGACCCGTGTCAGAGCCAGCGCCGCTGTGCGTGTGGATTATCGTTGCTGGAAGCATTCGCGGATCAGCAGGAGGAATGCACGACGTGCCGCAGTGCACAATCATCGCGGCCGACACGTCAAATATATGGTGCGCCGTTTGTTCGTCGACTTATATGTCACTCCCGTCCTGCTAAAAAAGAGTCGATTCGTTTTTCTTCTTATCTTGCCTTGATCGCTGCAATAACAAACGCCTTTTTGGATCCGACATATTTTAAGTTGACATGTAAGGTTCCCCCCCACTCCCGTCCCCCCCATTCCCCACCCCCTTTCCCCCCCATTCCCCACCCTCCTTTCCCCCCCTTCCCCTCCCTTTCCCCCCCTTTCCCCCCCTTCCCCCCCCTTTCCCCCCCTTCCCCCCCCTTTCCCCCCCTTCCCCCCGCCTTTCCCCCCTTTTCCCCCCTTTCCCCCTCTTCCCCCCCCTTTCCCCACCTCCCCCCCCCTTCCCCCCCCTTTCCCCCCTTTCCCCCCCTTTTCCCCCCCTTTCCCCCCCCTTCCTCCTCTCCCCCATCTTCGCCTTTCCGTCTCTCCCCCGCTGCGCTCCCCGGCGCCACTTCAGCTACCCTGCGTGTGCGCGCTGCACGCGCTCGCTGTCGGAGTACACGGTGAGGGGCCAGCAGGTCGCCACGTGGCGCCCGTGGCCGTGCAGCGAGTGCCAGCTGGCAGACCGCTCCGCGAAGCCGCTTGAGACCATCGAGCGGCAGACACATCTGTTCAAGCTCAAGGTGACTAACGACGCTGTGATTATGTGAAAATGGATGGCGCTATATTGGAAGGCATGACAATGGATAAAGCATTATAACAGACTTTTCTTTCCTTTCCTTTCCTGACATACAAGACCAGGCCAATTCCATCTTCCATGTGTCAGTCGCCCCTCTCCCTTCCCTTCTCATCTACCCCCCTTTTCCCACCGTCCCTCCCTCTTTCCCTCTTTTGCAATACTCCCAACACACGTCATGGCAGCTGTTGCTGGTGATCCCTGGGGAGTCCCACCCAGTGTCTGGTGTGGCGTTTGACAAGGCTCTCAGCCCCTCTCCTCTTTCCCCACTTCCCCCTCTTCTCTCCACACGGCAGCTGCTGCTGGTGCTACCAGGGGAGTCCCACCCAGTGTCTGGTGTGGCGTTTGACAAGGCGGCTCAGCCCCTCTCCTCTTTCCCCCCCTCCCCCTCTTCTCTCCACACGGCAGCTGCTGGTGGTGCTACCAGGGGAGTCCCACCCAGTGTCTGGTGTGGCGTTTGACAAGGCGGCTCAGCCCCTCTCCTCTTTCCCCCCCTCCCCCTCCTCTCTCCACACGGCAGCTGCTGCTGGTGCTACCAGGGGAGTCCCACCCAGTGTCTGGTGTGGCGTTTGACAAGGCGGCTCAGCCCCTCTCCTCTTTCCCCCCCTCCCCCTCTTCCCTCCACACGGCAGCTGCTGCTGGTGCTACCAGGGGAATCCCACCCAGTGTCCGGTGTGGCGTTTGACAAGGCGGCTCAGCCCCTCATAGGCTGCACCGGATCCCAGTGGACCGCCTTTGTTCGCAAATACCCCCATGCAGGTCCGTTGCGCTTCTTGCTTCTTAGCGCTTTTGTAGGTGCGTGAGAAATAGATTTTCAGTGGGCACGCTCGCTAGAACTTCAAGGCACGTTAATGCGCAACTCATACTGCACTTTCTTACAATTTTTTTTTTTTTTTTTTTTTTTTTTCTGTTTTTATTTCCTTTCGTTCTCTTTAATCCCATCTTTGCATCTCTCCGCTCTTCCATCTCCCTTACATCTCTTCCCTCTCGTCTCTCCGCTTTCCGCTCTCCGCTCCCCCATCCTACTCCCAGCATGTGTGTTGTCGGAGCTACTGTGTGGCATGGCATGCCGCGTGCAGATGAGGGACGCCGTGCGGGGCACTGGCCACGAGACCAGGCTCACTCGCATCGTCCCACTCCCCCTCCAGCACACGCTGCACTCCCCTGCTCTCCCTCCGCACTCGCTCCCACACACCACGGAAGCGTCTAGGGTGCCATTGCCTTTTGCACAGCTTCAGCTGCTGTTTGGGGAGGCCGAGCAGGGTGGATGGGGAGAGGATGGAGAGGGGCAGGGTGGATGGGGAGAGGGTAGCGGGGGACAGGGTGGAAAGGGGTCAAACATGTGAAGTGGGTGTGGTTATGCTTGGGAATGGCAGGTGGATGCATCATGTGTCTCCCCGGCGTGGTTCTTGAGCCAGTATGTGGTGGTTATGCAGGAGAGTGTGTGATATTTCAAGGTGCACAAGAAGCTCGCTCAAGAATTGATTGGTATGTGTGATGTGATGTGATCCATCCAGCATCTTGTTTCAACCTTCTGCATATGACTCCTGGTTTTCTGCCTTCTTCCCATTCTCTTTTTCTTCCCCCCCTTTTCCTCCCTCCCTCTTTGCAACTTCAGATTTTCCTCTGGACTGATGAGGAACGGATCAGTTGTCTCATGAATACCTAGAACTCAGAAGGATCCACCGTGCTAGTGATTCGAACTCATTATTGCGTTGTGGAGATCAATCTTTGATGAAATCAACTATCATTATGGTATTTGTCTGGCTGATGCTAACCTGTTTAGCATTTGGCACTATCATTAGAAGAACCCATCCTTCTGGAGGATTCAACCTTAACGTCAACGAGCTAGCCTACATCGCGTTTGTTCCTTGGGATCACCGACCCTGGAATATATATTGCACTGCCTGCGTCAGCAGGCAGTGCAATGAGTCAGCGGGCAAGGAAAAAAAACAAAACCCACTCCGAAGGCATGCCATTCGGGAGGCATCAACCCTAGAATTTTAGGGTTGAGGCTCCCGAATGGCATGGAGTCCGAATGGGTTTTAGTTTTTTGTTGTATCTGAGCGCTACCGACGCTACCAAGTGCAATATATTGGTGTATCTGTTGCCTTTCTGAACTACTTGTTGACGTCGCGTCCAGGACGCCATTCCTGAAAAGTGGACCCTAGATTCTACTCTGAAAGACAATAATTCAGGGTCAGAGATGAAACGTTTCGACATTTTTGTGTTTCCTCACCAAAAGTCCAGCCACGTCACAACTGCATTCGATTCAAAAAGTCTGACGAAATACGACCTCAACCGCATTCATCCCAACAGCATCTGCTTCTTCCTGCTGATCTACCTTTGTCACTCCCTTTCCTCACCTTTATTTCTTCAGACTAGCTCCATGTCTGGTGGTTTGACAAGTCAAGCCATGTACAGTTTCTTAGCCTAGCGTTCTAACGTAGAACTTTCGAGTTAGGTCAGAAGTGATGGAGGATGGGTAACGTCGATGCCTGGTAACCGTGTTGCTTCGTCATTGCCGAATTCGCAGAGCGCTTTACCGCATTCCTGACAGCGTCCCCTTTCACATAACACCCAGAGCAGGTGCCTGATAGGCTGCTCTGGATACAGTACAGCTACATAAGTTATAAAGTAATTTGTTTCGAATATCGCAGATAGGCGTCGCGGCACGGTGCGTCTTTTGCCTGGTAGTAGATACGATCAGCTTGTCCTGATAGTTGACTTTTGAGTCGACTCAAAAGTCAACGCACATAGGCGTCGTGGCACGGTGCGTCTTTTGCCTGGTAGTAGATACGATCAGCTTGTCCTGATAGTTGACTTTTGAGTCGACTCAAAAGTCAACGCACATAGGCGTCGTGGCACGGTGCGTCTTTTGCCTGGTAGATACGATCAGCTTCACGCCAGAAATGGCCGCTTCTCGCATTCACGTTGATTTTCCTCTTCAAGTCCTCATTCTTGTGGCTGTAACACTCGCAGTGTCGCGTCCTCTTGTAGCGGGGACAAATGCACCAGCCTCTTTCCCTGCGGATGCGACTCGGGAATATTTGCGTCCGCGCCTGTCCGTGGCGCACAGGAAGCTCGCCGCCGAGACTGGCGCCGAAGCTTTCGCCGAAATTCCTGCCGTGACGTCCGGCGCAACTCGCGCCGCGAAATCCGGTCATTCCGCCGCAGCAGCAAGAGCAGAGCACGCCGCGGAGGCATCGACCGATATCACAGCCGGTTATAATGCGAATGCGGAGTTTCCGGGCCGTCGAGACACGACAGCAACACAAAAGGGAGCAGATGCAACTGAAGCTGCTGTCGTGGACACGTGGCAGCGTGTAACTGGCTCCGCGGCAGTGGGAGGGGATCGGCGAATCATGGCAGAGGGGGAGGCGCGAAAGGGAACTGTCTCACGGTGGTTTGGACTGAAGCGAGATAGTGGAGAAGGGAAGGGGCGGAAGGAGACGGGTGCGACGGGAACTGGGACAGGTGAAGGGGAGAGAATGGGAGTGAGGGAGGGAGTGAGGATGGGGGTAAGGATGGGGAGAGGTAATGCTGCGGGTAAGGGTGAGAAGGCAGAGGGAGAGGCGGAGGAGGAGGAGGAGGAAGAGGAAGAGGAGGAAGGGGAGGAGGAAGGAAAGGAGGGGGTTGGGAGTTTAGCCACGGGAGGGAGCGGCCTTGGGAGTATCCGGGAAGGTGGTGGCGGAGTGAAAGCTGGAGGTGATGGTGTTGAAGATGATAATAGGGGGGGGTTTGGTGTACGAGGGGTTGCTAGTGAGAGTGGAAAAGGTAAGGCAGAGAAGCAAGAGAGCAAGGCAGCCGAGGAGGAAGAAGAGGACGAGGAGGAAGAAGAAGAGGAGGGAGAAGAAGCGAAGGAGGGTGGGGGAGGAGTGAAACCTAGTGGAGAGGGGTTGTTGGGAAGGACAGGCAATAGGAATTTCAATGACGTTCAAGCAGTCAACTCTGATGCTGTGAGGAGAGGTGAAGTTTCAACGAGGGGGGTGACACTAACGAGGGGTGATGGTGGTCCTGTGTTGACGAACTCGCCGAATTTGAACACAGAGAGAGCAGTGGGAATGGGAGTGGGAGTGGGAAGGCCGGTGGTTGAGGGGACGAAGGGACGGGAGAAGGTGAAGTTAGCAGGGCAGGAGGCGAAGGAAGAGGAGGAAGAGGAGGAAGAAGAGGAAGAGGAAGGGGAAGGGGAAGGTAAGGAGGAGGAGATGGCAGCGGGGAAGACGTCTCAAGGCAAGCAAGGAGGCACGGCCCTTACCACAAGAGGATCTGACGCAGCTGGGACTGCTGCTGTAGCGGCTACAGCTGCTGGCACCGGTAGCACTTTCTCTTCGCTGCAAACTGCTGCTGGTAGTGCGGTGAAGAAGGGGAAAGTGGAAGAGGAGGAAGAGGAGGAAGAGGAGGAAACAGGGACGAAGACGTCTCAAGGCAAACAAGGAGCCACGGCCCTTACCACAAGAGGAACTGACCCAGCTGGAGCTGCTGCTGTAGCGGCTACAGCTGATAGCACTGGCACTGGCAGCTCCTTCTCTCCACTGCAAACTGCTGCTGGCAGTGCGGTGAAGAAGAATGCGGAGGAGGAAGAGGAGGAAGCTGAGGAGGAGGAGGAGGAAGAGGAAGAAACAGGGGCAAGGACGTCGCAGGCAAAGCAAGGCGCCACAGCCCGAGCCACACCCATTACCACAACTGGAACCGACACAGGTGGGGCTGCTGCGGTAGCGGCTACAGCTGCGGGCACTGGCAGCTCTATTTCGCCGATGCGAACTGCTGCTGGCAGTGCGATCAAGGATACGAAAGAGGAAGAAGAAGAGGAGGAGGAGGAGGAGGAAGAGGAGGCAGACGCAGAGGAGAAAACATCAGTAGCCAAGAAAGCATTCATGCCTCGTACCACAGTGGGAACTGACGCAGCCGGGGCTGCTTCTGTGGCGGCTACAGCTGCTGGCACTGGCACTGGCACTGGCATTAGCACTGGCACTGGCGGCTTTGGTTTTCCACTGCAAACTTCTGGACGCAGTGCGGTCAAGAAGGAGAAGGAAAAAGAGGAAGAGGAAGAAGAAGAAGAGGAGGAGGAGGAGGAAGAGGAGGCAGAGGAGAAGACGTCCCAAGCCAAGCAAGGAACTGCGTCTCTCACCGCTACAGGCGCTGGAGCTACTGGCGCTACAGCCGCTACAGCTGGTACAGCTACAGCCGGAGGTGCTGGGAGCTCACTGTACCCCTCGAAGACTGCTGCTGGCAGTGCGGTGAAGGAGGAAGCGGAAGAGGAAGAGGAGGAGGAAGAGGAGGAGAAGGAAGAGGAGGAGAAAGGAGAGATAGGGAGCAAAGCCGGTGCATGGGCAGGAGCAAATGCAGCGAGTGCAGAGAGTGCGGGAGGAGGGGCAGGGACAGCAGCAGGGAGATGGACAGGGACAGGAACAGGGAGAGGAACAGGGAGAGGAACAGGGAGAGGAACAGGGACAGGAACAGAGACAAGGGCAGGGACAGGGGCGACTGAAGGGGTGCAGGAGGGAGATGCAGCAGGTGCAAAAAGCGAAGGAGAGAGGAAAGGTGAGAAGGACGAAGAGGAGGAGGAGGAAGAGGAGGAGGAAGAAGGGGAGGAAGAGAAGGAAGGTTCAGGTGAGGGCATGGTCAAAGGAGTGAAGAGCCGGGCAAGAGATGCCGTTGGTGCTGGTGTAGGTGTTGCTGGTGGTGCTGGTTTTGGCAGCACAAAGGGTGCAGATCTATCCGGTACAGGTGCTACTCGTTTTGAAACGCCTCAGCTCACCAAAGGCACAGAATTGTCTGGTGCAGGTGCGATTGGGAAGGATAAAGAGGATGAGGGAGAGGAAGAGGAGGAGGGAGAGGAAGAGGACGAGGAAGAAAAAGAAGAAGGGTCAGGAGGAAGAGGCACAGCTGCTGTTGATGTTGGAAGAAGTGGGTTAACTGCTGGTGGGGCCTTTCCCGGTGGCACTCTTCCATCTGGCAGTAGCGAATCAGCTTATACGGGAGCAACCAGCAGCTTTGAATCTGGGAGTAGTGGCAGAGGAGGTGGTGGTAGCGGTGGGGATCCTGATGAGGTGGAAGGGACGAGCGTGGTGGGTAAGGGGCCTCCAGAGACCAGCTCTTTTGCTGCTGCGACTGGTGCTAGTGCTGCTACTGCTGCTACTGGTGCTGGTGCTGGTTATACTGGCACTGGTGGTGCTGGTGGTGTTGCTAGTGGTGCTAGCGGTGGTG